TGTACTTTTATTTTTATTTTCATTACATTCAAACACATCAATGAAGCTTATGTCCAACTCAAAAATGGCCATTTCATAACTATTTTATGTTTCTCTCCAGAAGTTCCAGTCCGGCAATCATGGTATCAAGACACGGAGTCATTTTATCAATTAATGAGTACCGTAATCAATGAGTTATATCCAAAAATACTCTACATTCACGGTTTTTCATTTCATATTCTATTTTTCAAAAATAAAATAAAAGCTATAAAAAAGCATTCAATTAAAATTTTATATACAATAAATTTTTTAGAAGAAAAGGAAAGACAAACAAGAATAAAAAAAAGCAAAATAATTATTAGAAAAGTATTCTAACAATAGTACGTATAGCAACATAACTATAGATTAAGAGTAAAATTTAAAATTATTAATTAAACTAAAATAAGTTCGTATTACTTGATGCACGTATTTGTTAACAGAGAAATACTATTTTACACGAACGGCTGTAGACATGGTAAAACGAATGTCTGAATAATCGGTCAATTTGTGACGTACACTTCTTATATTATATTTGTTGAATATTATTTTGGTTTGGTATGGTCAATTTAACAGGTTTCATACGTTTAAGTAATGTTACTGACCTATGATTAATGGTGTTGTGAATAAATATAGATGTGATGATTTTGTTGGATGGAAAATGAGGAGGGGATCCTGCAGCAATATTCAGAAGCAGCACTGGGTTTTGTCTCATATGCCACAAACTCAATTATTTTGCAAAGCTTAAAAGTTGAATTCTCCTTGTCATATCCTTTTGCTAATGCTTTTTGTCGCTGTTGACTTAGAAATGGGGGAAGCTGTTGACGAGAAGTAGGGAGTGTATCACGTGCATGGATTTGACATGATGGAATGAATAGGAAGGAAACTTTATTGTCATTATTACTATTAAATGGATGACATGAATATTCTGATGCCATCAATAACGTCCCCTGGTCTGGTCTGCTGTGTTGTCTGATATTACAACCTTTTTGTCCTCTCAGCCAACCAATACCCCACTCATTGTCATCAACTCTTTCATACTCTAACTCTTTACTTGCACCCCCAATGGGAATGCTAACCATCTTCTTCCTCCTAACTCACATTTTACCTATTCCAGACGCAATTAATTCTACCTCACCATGCTGTTTCTCTCCTGTTAATTTCCACCCAAACCACCTGCGTTTTCGTGATTAAACCCAGTGTAATGCAATGCTGTTGACCCATAAAATTAATAGAAAATGTATATAAAATACCAGAGTTTAATATATAAGAGTACGATAATATTTTATTTTATATTTGATGCATGTTGAAAAAACGTACAAATTAAATAATATTATGTCACTTTGTCTTGTCTATTTTAACACAAATCAAGTCAAAAAATTAAATTTAGACTAAATAAATGCATAAGATAGATTTATCGTCTAATTTTAAGTAAATAAATATAAAAATAATAAGATAAAATGTGAAAATCTGTCCTATTTTATTCTTTTATTTTAGTCACCAAATAAATATAAAATATATTCATAAATCATTTAAGTGTTTAAGGGAAACACCAATAAATTAGGATAAAATTTTAATTTTTTTCTTATTTATTGGTATTTACCAATAATTATTTTAAAATATAATAAATTTTTTCAATTATAAAATTATAAATATTATAAATTTTAATAATAATGTTTTCACATTAAATAAATTTAAATAAATGGGAATGTTTCAAATTAAAAACAAAATTAAGAGAAATTAAATGAATATTATATTAAAAGTAAATTTTTAATATGTAAAACACTTAATATGATGAAAAATATTTTTGTTAAAAAAGGACTGGTAATGCTCTTATTTAGAAACTTGTATTTACAAATTACATATAAGTGTTAATTATATAAAATTTTATGATAGCAACTTTTATTACAGGCAGTGATGTCTTTTAAGAATTGTTACTCATTGCCATTTCATTTTTAAAAATAATATCTTGTTAAAAATTAATTAACATAATTTTTATTAAAAGTTACAGTTAGAAATTACAATGTAATATAAATCGATGATATTTTCTTATAATTTTTTCAATGAAGGTAACACGGGAAATATCTTTAAGGCATTCATTCATCAATATTTTTTAAAACATAATTTAAAAGAAATACTTAAAAGCCTCAATTGTGGAAAATGCATTGGATTTCATTAAACTAATATTTGTTAAAAGCTTAATAATTTGTAGAGATTTGAGAATTGAAAACCTTGTGTGAAATCAATTAAAGAGTGTTTATTGGATCATGATGAATGGGAAATAAATGAAAGAGGATGTAAGCATTAATCTAAAACATATGTTATTGAGTGATAGTATAATTCATAATAAAGGGTACATTATACACATACTGACAAATTAATCAAAGTTATGAAGTGTGTGAGAATATATAAGACGCCATATTGGACCTAATCATGTTTTCGAAAGACATTTTGACTCCACTCCACTTCTATTCTGTGTGGAAATGGTAAATCATAAGAATGTATAAATTTAATATTATTAAAGTCATTAGGATCAAACTAACAATAAAGGGAATTGTGCTGTTTATTATAAAGTTGTAATTTAAAATATCACTGTAATCATTGTATGAAAATTTTAATTAAGAGAAAGAAGTTGATATTTTAATTTTTGAATTTATTAATTTTAAATTAAAAATTATATAATAAAGTTTCAGTATAAAAATCGAATTCTTATAGGAAAAAAAAAATACAGCACGTGATAGTTTAAAAATGAAAAAAAAATGTCAGGTGTAGGATAATTATTTTTGCAGTTTTTATATTTTCATAATTTTGTGTACAAAAAGTTGATAAACTTCTTACATCAAAAAGTATTTTCTTATCAATCATTTTTGAATACATGTTAATTAATGTACTTAAAGTTAATGTATTGAATGTTAAACTTTAACAAAATTAGGTGGGCTTATCAAAATAGTTCATCATTTTAACATTAAACAATATATTTTATGTATATATAATTAAAAATATTATTTCAATTATATAAAAAAGTATCCTTATTAAAAGAAGAAGAAAAACTTACAACACACGATGAATGGGTCAGAGATAAAAGATGAAGCATCACAGATAGATGACTTGAAATCTATTTTTTTGGGGTTGAAAAGTAACTGCAACGAAAAACAGAAAAGGTTTTGTGAGGCTATTAGGGGTAAAAAATCGATCGAGTTTCAAGAGGCTGGACTCACAGTCTTTGTCAAAATGATTCCATCCTTCAAAAGTTAAAAAAGTGCAAATTAATGCACACATAAGATGGCTAGGCATAAAGCCTTCAATGTGAATTGCTAATATTGCATTAGAAGGAAACCAGACAAGTTACCTATTTCTCCCTAAAATAAAAATATTCTTTATACTATTTTTTCAAAACAAAAATATTTCAATCGCTTAAACTATAAACATAATTGTTTTAATTTAATTTTGTAAAATAAAATATTAAAGTATTTTTTTATGTAGAACTAAAACGAACAATATTTACTGTTTGAAATTGAAAGATTAAAAGAAATATTTATTCTCTGTGTTTCTCTCTCTTTACTGTGTCATAAACAAAGGTCATCATTACTGTGCAGAGCTAAAGATTTTGGAGTTTTCGCATGGCATGGTAGCGTGTGCGGCGGGTGGTACGAAACAGTAGACATTAACACTGGTGAGGTTCCTACTTTTTTCTTATATATATATATATATATACACACACACACAGGAGTCTTGTTAATCAGTATTAGTGTATTACAAAAGTACAGCTAAAGAATTAATGGATGTTTTTTAAAAATTAAAATATTTTTTATTTCAATTTTAAACTAAATACTGGTTACAGTTGTTTATGTGTGGGTAAACAGTAGTTCTTATGAAAATCAAAGCATCGAAAATTTTATTTACCTTTTTAGCTCTGCGGAACAGTGAAAGTTTTGGTACCGAAAAACTCGCGAAATTATGTATGATAAAAAAAAATAAAATTTGACACTGTTTTTGTACAATAAAATTCGTTGTTACCTCTCTTCTTTTGGTCAAGATCTGCGTTACCATTTATGTTATACTTCCTTTGTCAATAAACTACAGATAATAATACCGAAAGGTCCAAGTGAGGCCCAGTTTTAAAGGCCCAAAATATGGCCCATGGAAAAGGCGATGTAGCAAGGCCCAAGTACGGTCAGAAGCCTACATGTATAGAATTTGTTTCCTCGCTTAGCTTGTCTATAAGCAAACACAGTATTGACATTTGACTTCCTATAATGAGAGAATGTGTAAAGTAAAATGTGTGGGTTTATTTATCATTAATTTTAAAATTTATATTTATAAATTCTTTTAATTTAAATTAAAAGTAGATAATTTGTTACTTCTTACGTTACACTTTAGGAGTTCAATCTTAAAGTCAATTTGATTAGACACAAGTTTAATTGGGTTAACACACAAATTCAAACAACACATTAAAATGGATGTTTTTGTGTGAGTTAATGTTTTATACATGCATTAAAATGATGAAAAATCATAATGCAAATTTAGTGTAATGATATTATTTAGATGCACTTTTTATATTTTGTATTTAATAAAATAGAAAACATGGATTTTAACGTAACTATTTTTTTAAATGAAAAAGTATAAATATATGATATGAAAGTGTTGATGTACATACATGATTATATTTATTTATTTTAAAAAAGGATTGTTATGCTAAAATGCTCGTATCTGATGACGACCACGAGAAAAGGTTGCACATCTGGCGGGAGGCGAAGCAGCAGCGCATTTGGCGTTGTAAAAGCGCGTTATTGTTTGCAGAGAGAGAGAGAGAGAGAGAGAGAGAGAGAGGCACAAAAATAAAGGAAAAAAAAATCAAAACACCGAGAAAGAGAGGAAGAGAGATTGATATATGAATTGGGAATTCCCTCTCTTTCTCTGCGCACACAACACAATGGCCATCATCATCTACGCATGGTGACCCATTCTGCATTACATTCATCGCCATGCGTTGGTTGCACACCCTTATCTTCTCCCACTCTCATTCTCATTCCTCTTCTTCTTCTTCTTCTTCATCGTCCTCTTCGGCAACGCTAAAATCTTCCCCTTCCACCTCCTCCCTCCCCGACAACAGGAAGAACACGCGCTCCGCCAGGCTCTTCGGAAGTGGCAAAAGGTCCAGGCGCTCCAGGAAGCTCCGCCCCGTCGCCGACTTAGACACCGTCGTCGTCCCTCTCTCTCGTTCCTCCAGCACTTTCGATCTTTCCTCTACCTCCGCTGTGCCTCAGCCCTTGCCCTTGCCGGAATTGTCGTACCCTTTGCCATCGCCTAAAGATGCCGGCGATAGAGCTGACGGCACCGTCGACGTTACTCTCGCCACCGGCTTTCGGATGCGAAGGTAATTCATTCCCATTCCTATTAGTAGCCTATTCCATTTGATTGCCGTTGGTTAGCAGTTATACGAGACACGTTCAATCCTTTAATATAATATTATAAGGTTTATACTATTTAGATAACATTAATTATTATATTTCACATATTTACACTTCAGTTTTTTTAAATTTTTATACAAATTGTTATGTAAACACAAATTTTCCTATAAGAATAATTTTGAATTATGGTTATTATGTTAAATTTTTATTAATCGTACATGTGGAGTGTGGACAAAGGAATGGCTACATTTGTAATAGTTTTTATAATTTTTTTTTCTTGTAACATATATTTTTTTTTAATTTTTATTAAGGTCAATTAACAATTACGTAGGATACGGTTAAGTGAATAATTTAATTCAATACTCTTATTCAATAAATTCTTATCAAAGAAGAGTTTATACAATAAATTTGATTATAAAACTTAACAGAATCAATTTAAAAAAATTATTTTCACAAATTACACTAATAAAAACTTGTTAAATAAAATTCAAAAATTATGAAAATTCTAAATTATTTTCTTCAGCTCCTTGTAAATTCTTTTAAACGTTATTTTAGAATATTACTTAAAGAACATTGAACACATTTTATTATATAAATCATTCTAATTACTTTAAAAAATATTAAAAGCTTTATGTTTTTAAAATAATAATTATTCCGTAATGCATTTTTTTATTTCTATTTCTTTAGCCAACTCATCTTAACACTCATTTACACTTGTATTACGATTATTGTTAAAATAATGTTTTACAAAAAAATATATTTTAAACACCAGTTATCATCTACAAAAAATTGTCTACTGTTATTCATAAAATAACATGGATATAAAACTTTTCATCCAACGGTTCTCAACCATGATCTTAGTGGTAAAATGATCTTAATGAAGAAAAAGTTGAATGACAATCCTTCAGCACTTTAAACACGGACACTTGAAGAAAGATATGATTTTTTTCTTTGACAGATAATCTACTATAATCAGTACGAGTGAGTATGTTGTTTTGTCTATAGCTAGCCTACTGAGATAGTTGGTGTTTTCTAGTGTTTTTGCTAGCCAATTCCAAGAGACAAGAAAGAATACGGAGCACGTGGATACAAGGACACCTGGGATAGATGCGTGCGGTTCTGCAACCGCAAACAATCATGGAGATAACTTCTGGATGAGTGTGGCTCCTAGAAGTGCTCCAAGTAGTCCTTTCGCCACCAGTCCCACCATCAGCCCAAAGAACATAAAAAATGATGATTTTGTGCCATATTATTACGTCCCACCCAAAGTAAATCAATTCTGGTCTGCACCAGAAATGCCCATATCAGAGACATCAGCCTCTCCTGCTTTCTTTGATTTTTCCGCATTAGCCACTGATACCACTGCTGCTACTGCTACTTCTCCCCATCGAAGTCCACTTATAAGAAGTCCCAGTCAACAGTACCCCAAAAGCCCAACTGGGCCTTCTTCCCCTCTACCCAGGTTGTCCCATGACACCTCAACACCACGTCGTGAAGCTACTGCTCCTCTCACCGTCCATCCCTTACCCTTGCCTCCTTGGGCTGGGCCTGGGCCTGGTGCTCCCTTACCTTCACCATCTGCTCCCTTTTCCCCAGCTGTAGCTAAAGGAGAACCCGTGTCGATGAAAAGCCAATGGCAAAAAGGGAAGCTTATTGGGCGAGGTACTTTCGGCAGTGTTTATGTTGCCACCAATAGGTATGTGTAAAAAAGTTTCCTAGCTATTTTAAGCTCTTCCTTTCGTTCTTGGAGGCATGTGAAGCATATTTTCTTTTCTGACAGAGAAACTGGAGCATTGTGTGCAATGAAGGAAGCGGAAATATTTGTTGATGATCCAAAGTCAGCAGAGTGTATAAAGCAGATAGAGCAGGTTATTCATCTCTTGTTAGTTAGTTACTTCTGTTATTTGAATTAATTAAAAATAATACATTTATATATATTTTTAAAAAATTTTACCTAAAAATTTACCCGAAAAATTTGTTCAAAATAAATTCCTCTTAGATAACATAAATTGTTTATTTATTAAATGTACATGATGTAGGAAGTGTGTAAAATGTACTATCTGCCATGTATTTTTTTATTGAAAAATATTCACTCTCTTTAAAGTGAACACATAGGACAGAGAAGAGATAAAAAAAGGAAACTGATAGGTAGAATTTGAGCTTTTTTTTTAATATGATTTTTTTCTCTAAATTATAAAGATATGAGATTTTATTATTATTTTAAAATTTGTCATGAGTAATTTTTTATTTTTATTAATTTTTTAATATTTTTTGAAAAATCGTTATTGACTATTTTTAAGATTTTATCATTTTTTTATTTTTTATTTTTAAACTTTTATACTTACACTAAAAATTGCTAATTTTTAAATTTTAAATTTTTGTAATTTTTCAAAAAACATTATATTTCAGTATATATAATATCTAAATATCATATAAAAAAATAATTCTAAAATAAGTGACGAAATAATAAGAAAATAAAGATAAAGAGAAACGAAAGAATTAAGTTGTGAAAAAATCACAATTAATTTTTTTTCCTATTCCGACACTTGCTATTAACGTAGAGCTGTTTGCATCGATTAGTATTCAAAATCACTTTCACATACTGTATAATACACGTTTTAATACAAAATTTATAACCAAAATTAATTTGAATACATTTTAATCACTTTTAATGATTGAGAAACAATTTATTAAACCCTAAAAAAATTATACTTAAGTTGTTAATTACGAGAACCAGGGAACTTCATTCATAAGTCAATATAATATATCCTATTGTCAATTTCATAGAAACAGTAATTTTCTTTGCAAGCGTAGATCAGAATGCATGACTGGTCGATTTGGATTCTCTTATAGATAATTACTTTCTGAAATGTTTTAGTTAGTGAACGCATTTTCCTAATTATTAATCAAATCCTCATTACTAATTACCTTTTTGCAGGAAATTAAAGTTCTTAGCAATCTGCAACATCCAAACATCGTGCAGTATTATGGTAGTGAAATAGTAAGTAATCCAATTCACGATTAGGTGCCCAAGATTAATCATTATTTATATAATTTCCACGAAACCTTCTAATATCTTTCGGTTGTGTTCTCAGGTTGAAGACAAGTTTTATATTTATTTGGAATATGTACATCCCGGTTCAATAAATAAATACGTTCGTGAGCACTGTGGTGCAATAACTGAATCTGTTGTTCGGAATTTTACACGTCATATTCTTTCGGGGTTGGCTTACTTGCATAGCAAAAAAACAATTCATAGGTACGGGTCACGTGCATGCTTAATATGTTGCATATCAGCCATATCCAACTAGTATTAGAAATCCTACCAAATTCTAGAGCAAATATTATTTAGTGTAGATTTTATTTTATCAGAGATTACTAATTCATTTTGGATTTCGACTATCTGATGACATTTTTTTATTGTATGTTAATAGGGACATCAAAGGGGCTAACTTGCTTGTTGATTCTGCTGGTGTTGTTAAGGTTGCTGACTTTGGGATGTCCAAGCATGTATGTTGTTGCAAAATTCCCCGTTTTTGATATACTTTGCTGGTTCTAGTCGTTATCCCTGGAGAAAATGGATCTCTCACTGTACAGATACATTGGATTTCTATTTTTTTTATCTTGATTGTAATTTATTATATATACAGTTATAGGATTCCTGAAATAGGAGTTTGCATAATAAATGCACGCATTTAAAAGGACCAAGTTTGTTTTTTTTGAAAATTTCCTTTCTCTTGTTTGAAATCAACAAATTAATGACACATTCTAGCCAATTCATCTGTTAATTTCCATTGATTGAATAAATAACTTGATGTTTTATGCCTAATTTTAGATTTGTGAGCTGATGACAGGTGGTGTTTTTCTAAATTTTGTTTGTGAGCTTGAGTTTTAATGACATATTATTTTCTAAATTTTACTTGTTGGTTTTAGCTCATCGTTACTACTAGTAGTTATTTATACCCATTTCTCTATGTCGACAGCTGACTGGACATGCGGCTGATCTTTCTTTAAAGGGTAGTCCATACTGGATGGCTCCAGAGGTATATTCTTTCTCTACATTACTCCCTGTTGACTCATGAGTTCTTCTTTGACACTAGTTTCTTATACAGCTTATGCAAGCGGTTATCCAAAAAGATAACAGCTCTGATCTAGCTTTTGCTATTGATATTTGGAGTTTGGGCTGTACAATTATTGAGATGTACACGGGGAAGCCTCCTTGGAGTGAGTACGAAGGGGTAAGTTGTTTTTTATTTATCAATTTGTTGTTCAGGCCACGTTCTACCATATAGCATAATTAGAATTCTCATTGGTAATATTTGTCAGAAAGATATTTTTGTTTGGTTCAGTAACGATGAGAACTTATATCTAGACATGGTAACATAAGCTAAGTGAGATCGTGGAATTTGCTAATGGAGGATAGTGTATCAACTTTTTTACTTATCTTGGTAGTCTTTGATTTTAACAACTAGATTAAAGCATCTGTATACAACTTTTCTTCTGTCTGCAGCTTGTGGATTATAGATATGTGTCCATTTTTTAACTAGGCGTTAATTCTCATTTAATTATGTAGGCTGCAGCCATGTTTAAGGTTATGAAGGATACCCCTCCTATACCGGAAACATTGTCAGCAGAGGGAAAAGACTTCCTGAGGCTTTGTTTTAAAAGAAATCCAGCAGAGCGGCCAACTGCTTCAATGTTACTGGATCATCGATTTCTTAGAAACTTACAACAACCAGATGCTTTATCTTCCATGCATATTTGAACCACTGAGAGGTGAGAATTTCTCAGTACTTCCATGGATCTTAAATTACTGCATATTTGAACCAATAAAAATCCATGATCCATCCTGTGTGCTATGCAATACAAGTCCTTCATTGGTGGGTTTGTAACCAATTAAAAGGGTATATAAGTAAGATAGTTTTAAGTCTAACTTGTCTAAGGCATTTTAGACAAGCAACCGCTGAACCTTAAAGCCCACTGTTCTCTAATCTTAAATTGGCTCACATTCAAAATCTTTATATTGTTCACGGCTCTTATATTTTAGCCTTGTATGTAGCATGTCCCACATTTATTAAACCCTATCCAGTCTTAACGTTGTCATCAATCTAGTTCTGTAAACTTCCTTCATTTCTAACATTGCATGATGTCTTGCTTATTCTCTATGCATCATCAATTTTCTCTCCTGAGATGGGATACGTATCTAACAAAAACAACTTCTACATTACAGTGGCGTCGCTGTTCCCTGCTCGCTCTACTCTTGAAGCATTCAAGCTCACTCTCTATGCTTGGCCTGCAACACTCTCGATGAGATTTTGTGATTATCAGTATGTGTGTTAAACATGGCAGTGGAAAAAAAGGGTATTTTCGAATGACTGGGCTGAGGGAATTTCTCAACCATTATGCCAGTGGCTTGGGTTCACCCGGACTTTTTGGTGACTTGCACCTGTAGCTGTTGTAGGTTCTTTACCGATATTATCATGATGCCTTGGTAAGTAACGAGCATCTTCGGAGTTCACTGCTTGAAAATCTAGAAGCAGATTTTGTTAATATATTAATATTAGAGTGATCCAGCAGCGACACAAATCCTGTAAAAAAAAAAAACATAATACCAAAAGTCTTTTTTTCATTAGATTGGTATTACACACTAATCAATGACACCATTGTATTTTTCATTTTTCAAAGAATTCTTTATAAAAAAAAAGAAAAAATTGGACAAAAAATCACATTTTCAAAGTTTCTATTTTAAAATTAACTTAATTTATTTAATAGCATGTTAAACGGTATATTATTTAATATATTTAATGATAAACTTTTTAATAAATATTTATAGAAGACAAAAATAAGAAAGAAAAATAAATGTAATGTCTCATATGTTAATATCAACTCACATTTTTTTAAATTTTTTAAGAAATATTTTTGTTTAATTTTTAAACTTTAAGATATATAAAATAATTTTAACTAATAAAATTATTTATTCATATTACTTTTTTTTAATAAATATTTATTTAATCACGCTTTAATTTCAATATTGGCACAATTGTAAAGATACCGATTAAAGAAAAAAAAAGAATAATTACAACATGATAAAGTTATAACATACAAAGGATTAACTAACATAATGATACTACTTTAAAAATGATTAATATTATTATGATAATTAATTATTTGAATGTCATATTAGTTGGTAGTAGAAAACAGAATCTATTAAAAATGTATTCAGATATATAATTTAATTAAATATTTTCTAATAATTTTTTATATAAAATTTTGTTATAAAATTAACAAAAATAAAATATTATTTTAATAATTTATATTAAACATAATAGAATAAATTAACAAAATTTAAAAATTATTTTAATAATTTTTAAAAATAGTCCCAATGTACATTAAAAAAAGTGAAACACATTGAATCTGTGAAAAAAAAAAAAAAGGAAAGAAAGAAAGAAAAACCATCTTGGAAGCCAACACCTGTTTCATCTGTCCTGCTTCCCCTGTTTTACGGCCTTTTTTCCAGCTGATTGTTGGATCATTATTTTATCGTAATATCTAAGTCAAAACTATTAATTTATTAACTTCCTATGTGATGTTATTATTTTAATTTTTAAACTTTTTCTCTATTGAGTGGGTAAAGGAGAGAGGACTTTTGTTGCAATTTCCAAGATCTCTATTAAAAAAAAGATAAAATATAAATTCAAAATCTAAAATTAAATTCAATATTCAATATTCAATTTTAAAATTTAAATTCAAAATTTATATTTAAAATATACTAATTCTTTATTTATTTCTATAATTTTTATCATAATTTGACTAATTTTAACCATTATCATCATTTTCTACAATAAAATAAAATAAAAAATAACTGATTTTTTAATAAAAAAATCCAATTCAAGAGATAATATAGTAATTTTATTAAAAAATAAATTAAAATTTCTCAAATAAAGTGCAGACCATTATTAAAAATAAAAATGGTTGAGGATAAATTCTTGTATGTTGAACAAATGGTATGAGATGTACCAAGTAGCTTTTTTCTTAAAATTTCCTCAACATATAACAAAGTTTTTATAAGAGATTAACTAAAAAATAAAATAACTTAAAAATAAAATTATTTACTTAGAATATTTTACAGAATAAGAACATGAAGAGTATATCTAAAAGAAATCTCAGGTCTCCTTTTAAAAATAACGTTGTTGCAGTTTAAAATATTATAATAAATTATACTTAATTAAAAATAAATATAATTAATAAAATTAATTGTGCCATCAGAATAGTTTAAGGTAATAAGTATCAATTGATTTAAATAAATATCACAATTAAGAAAAATGAAAATAATCAAATAGTAATACTCATTAATTATTGTTACTATTAATAAAAAAAATGTATTAAAACACAATTTAAAGTAATTAGTATCAATCAAACAAAATAAATAATAATAATACTCATTAATTATAATTAAATTAAAAAATATAATTTAAATATTTTGAAATACTTTAAATTTTTTTTACTGCGATAAAAAAGTTTGATAAATGATTAATCAGACACGAAGATCAAAATATCCAACATATCTCTCATTTTAACAATAGGGTCATTTTCAAGAAAGAAAACTAGAAGCCATTGAAATTGGTACTTCGCAGAGATTGAAGAGGTAGAATGGTTGATTTTTTTTTCTTTCCTTTTCATAATAACATATTAGCATTTTTGTTTTTATATGGTAAAAAAAGCATATATTTGTGGCACCATAAAATTAAGAATGAGATTTGATTCTTTTGGCTTTTGTAACGCTTGTGACCTGGTGACAAGGGCATTCACGTGCATTTATTTCTAGCATCCTCCCATTTCACTTTCACTGCTTAGCTTCACTTGTCATATTCTTCCTTTTCTTCAAGAGAGAGAGAGAGAGAGAGAACGATGGAACCTCCTCCAACACAATCCATTGAACTTTCTACCACCAACTACCAAGGTGGGGATGATGCACAAGACAAACTCATCAATGAGTGGTAATCTTCTTCTCTTTCTTCAATTGCGTTTGTAAGAATTTATGTGACTCTCGGATACATATATCATGTATTTTATGTATGATTGAATTCTCTAACTTTAGTTTGTGGAATTGCAGTTGTTCTTGCTGCTATGACTGCTCACAAGGTTTCTTTGATTTTTTGTGCTGTAACTTCTGTTGAAGTCTTGGATCAAATTTCAATCATCAGTGTTATTAGCAATATGTTATTAGGTATTAGATATAGAGATGCTCCTTCCCCTCTACCCCTTTATTAGAGAATTTATGTATGATCATAATTAAATAGGAAAAAGTTTTGCTTTTTATTGAGATTTATTGGAAATTCTTCCTTCCTGTCTCTTGGGTTGCCTTTACAAGCTGAGTTTGAGTTTACCCTATCAAACTGTGTTGGGAATTTCAATGATTATTTTCACTTGTTGAGGAACCTGTTACCATTAAAGTAGGGTTCCTTTTCCCCTTTTACATGTTGGATGAAGTCTTTTTTTTTTGGGGGGTGAAAACATGTAGGATGAAGTTGTTTGATCTGAATCACAAGGTGCTCATGTTAACTCTATTGAGCTGGTGGGATTCAAGTAATATAATTTCAATGATAAAGTGAAGTAACTTATTTTCCAAATTAAATTAAAAAATTATGTGTCAGTTAATTGGCTCAGGTCACATTCATGAATGAATATATGATGCACTTTTAAAAAATAGCATTTAAAATGTGTTTTGAATAATATTGTTCCTGAAATTACGGGTATTAATTAATTTATTTCTTGAACTTGTAACAATGCTGTTTTTAAAATTACCAAAAGTCTTAGTCCTTATTTTCTTGTAACTTACGGAATTAAAATAATTATTCTTTGATAACAGCAAATCATTTAACAAACCTAAGGATAAAAATAATATTTTTGTAATGTTATAAATTAAAGTAATCAATAAGTTTAAGAACTATTTTGACATACTACTGCATAAAAATCATTTGTAATGACAAAAAGAAATGTGGAAATCTTTTGAATTTTACATTTGAAAAATGATAATAAAATAATTTTTAACGTATTTCTTTTAATACACTTTTTAATGAACTCTAATTAATAATAAAAAAATGTTATTAATATTTGTATACCGTGCTTATGCAGTTATGATGGAATACATTTGGGCGAGATATAGCCCAAATGTATAATATTGGAAGAATTTGGTGTACTTAACTGTCTAAGGATCAAACTAGAGGGTCCTATTTTAAGAAATCATTTTTTAAAATTTAGTAGATAATTTTTTCAAATATTTTTTTATCAAAATTTTTTTTCTCAATTTTTAAATTTTTTTTAAAATTATGTCTGACATATGTAAAATTGGCAAGAAAGAAGATAATGAAAAAGAAATTAGTCAAAAGAAAAGAAACTTAAATGTTTTTGGTTTAGGAAAGAAATATGTAGAAAATAATAAATTCATAGGAGACACTTGTTCATTAATTTTGCCAATTAAAAAAGTGGACAAATATACTACCTTTGTTTTATTATTTCCTTATTATCCTTGCCGTTTTTGTGTTATTTCTTGTTAAACCTGTTTCTGGTTTACATGATTATGTTAAACCTGTTGATATAGGTGACCTAACTAAGATTGTTTTCGTTTTTGGTCAAGGACCTAACTAAAGACCTCGACACCTTCGTCCCTTAATTTATACATCAGAATATTCTACAGTACAGCAGACAATTCAATTATGCTAAAGAATATAATGTAAAAAGTTATGAAAATAAACAAAATATTTTCATGATAAGAGAGTAAAGTTATTTCCTTGTGTGGAAGAGGAAAACTACACAAGTTATGGTCAATAAATAATGGAACATGAACTGGCCAACAATGACTAGGAATTTAGTTCTCCATGTGCAGAATGTGGAATACTGAGATTCAATTAATTAAAGGAACACCCATTCTATAAACCGCACTATTTCTTCGCTGGAGTCCAAGTTGGAAATCAAAGATTCAATTATTTTAGTTTTGGATAATAAGGCCACTGTTCTAATCCAATTTATCTTCTTCTAGCCTCCAGGTCCAAAACACATCACTGTCAACATTATCTAAAATTTTGCGTCTATGTGTATAATAACTTATTTTATATCAAATTGGAGAAGAAGAAGTACTAGATGAAATGTGTTAATATACATTCTATTTAATTTCCCTCTGTTCAATCATATTTTAAATAATTTAAATAATAATATTTAGAATTATTTTATTTCATTTTACTCCATTCTATCACTTTTCATCAATTCAACGTAACCAGACTTTATCCCTTTTAACTGAGATTTGATTCTGCCTAACATTAGAAATTTAAACTTATCACTAATGCCCTTACCAATGATATTAGATAATAATATCTTTTATCATTTGAGTTAAAACATTAACTTGTTTTAATTAAAAATATTACCTACGGTTGACTAGTTTCTATAAACAAAACAAAACATATACCTTACATAATAGCAGTTGCATGAGCTTGATCATGTCATTTCCCACAAAATGCCGGGTTTTCATGTTTTGCTAGCTTTTATCATGACTGTACACACACATTCCACCACATGACATATTCACAGAACACAGTCAAATGTCACGCACTTTCGATATTTGTTTATAATTTCTGCTTTGAAAACTCTTCTCCAACTCCCACAATGCGTACAACTTATCTTCAAAGTGCAACCTAGACCTTGGCAGTATAAGGACAAGTAGGAAAAAATAGACAGAGAGAGCACACTGATATTAATTATACTCTTTCAAGCACCACATTCTTCATGAGACATCAAGTGTCAACTACACTTCCATTATTTTATATTTTTCATATTCATGCATTTGAAAAATATTCTTATTAAAGTTACGTATGAATGAAAAAGTTTTATATTAAATAAAAATAGAAAAGTTAAGCAACGTATAAGTGATAGGAACGCAGAATTTAATATTTTTAAAGTTTTTGAGTTCAGTATAGCGTCCAAATATGCTTGTATGGTTGCTTATGACTCATGGTGGAAACTGTTTTAGCCTCTTGTATACCTATCAACTATGCATTAAACTTTTTAGTAGACTTGAGGCTGTGTTTTCATTAGAGATATATTGTTATGTTGCATCATCTTGTCACTTAGAGCAATTGTTAACTTTGTGACTCATAATGTGGGACTGCCCAAGTTCTTAATTAAATCCATTAACGAAATTCGAACTTTGTTATATCAAAACAAAAGGAGCAGACAATTTGGACTTCGTACTTAGGTGATAGAGACATGGATACATAGTGGCTCTACCACTCTCCATAAAAACCAAGCTAGTAAGAGCTTTTTTCTCCTATAAATGGCTTGAATTTCCAACTTCATTGTGCAATTCTAATCGAGTTGTTAACTTAACTAACCTCCCCTGTAGTTATTCTAGTTTCAATTTATGGAGGGTACTTCTAAGCTTCTGTCTGTTTTCATATTTGGGCTTGTGTTCCTTAGTCCTCTAGCAAGTTGTCAACTTTATTATAATTTCTACGACACAAGTTGTCCAAACCTGACTGGAATTGTTCGATACAATGTCCGGTCAGCTATGTCCAAAGACTCAAGGATTGCTGCTTCTCTCTTGCGCCTTCATTTTCATGATTGTTTCGCCAATGTAAATAAGCTGTCTCAATTTTAGTTATTCTTTTAGTTGGGATAATTTTTGTTAAGTTTTTAAGCTTTCTAAAGTAATAAATTTTTATTTAAAAAATATTTTATTAAATTAAAGATATAAAAATGTAATAAATATTTTATTTTTTAATAACAATCTTTTACTTTTAGATATTTAAATTTAGTTTAAGGGAGTAATTTTTGTAGAATGTTCCAATGAGGAAGGAAAAAAAAAGGAGTAATTTTTGTATTCCTTCAGTTTCCCTTACCTTAGAACCTTAATATTATTTGGTTGACTATATGTGCTTCTTTCAATTTTTAATATAAAATTCATATCTTATTCCTCAAGTACTAGTACTGTTTAATATTATTGTATGTTATTGAGGTGGAGAACAATACTAAAAACACATGATATTATACCTCAGTTTTATTTATTTTCGTATTACAGGGGTGTGATGCGTCTGTGCTACTTGACGATACGAGCACTCTAAAGGGGGAGAAAAATGCACTGCCAAATAAAAATTCAATTAGGGGATTTGAGGTCATTGACACAATCAAGGCTGCGTTGGAGAAGGCTTGTCCATCCACAGTGTCATGTGCTGATTTACTTGCTCTAGCAGCAAGAGAAGCTGTTTATCTTGTAAGAGACTAATCTTCAATTAATTGGTGATGACCTCTTATTCAATGTATACGCCAAACATATTAAAACATTTTTGAAAATTTTCAGAGCAAAGGCCCATTTTGGGCTGTACCACTTGGTCGTAGAGATGGTACAACAGCAAGTGAGAGTGAGGCAAATAACTTGCCATCACCCTTTGAACCTCTAGAAAACATCACCGCCAAGTTTGTATCAAAGGGTCTTGAAAAGAAGGATGTGGCAGTGCTCTCAGGTTTGTTTCCTTCACGTTTATATGCTTCGCTCTTGCCATTTAAAGCTAAATTAAATTCTTACGCTAAATTCTTGCTCTAAGTTTATCAGTTTTAACTGCTCTACTAACAAGTTGGATACAATTCTTCTAAAATTTTCCTAAATTAGTTAATTTAACAAAATTAAATATTTTCCTAAAACACTCTTCTGATTAGTTTCTGATCAGCTACAACTTGAAATCTGAAGTAACGAGAATTTACTGAGTAGGGGCATGTTCCTGCTGCATACATGTAGCAGCTTCTTAGATTTGGTCAATAAACAGCACTATTTGCTACATACTGGCTAGTGATGAGACCAAGTTTACAAGTTTCATGTGTATGTACACTAAATGTAGGTGCCCACACCTTTGGCTTTGCTCAATGCTTCACATTCAAGCCAAGGCTCTTCGACTTTGGTGGCTCTGGAAAATCTGATCCAACACTTGATGCTTCACTTCTACAAGGTTTGCTAAAACTGTGCCCAAATCAAGCTGATTCTGACACCAATTTAGCTCCCTTAGACCCCGTCACTACCAACACATTTGATAACATGTATTACAAAAATCTTGTCAACAATTCGGCGTTGCTTCAGTCAGACCAAGCTCTTTTGGGTGACAACATAACTGCTTCATTGATCATCAACTATAGCAAGTGGCCTCTTCTCTTCTTCAAAGACTTTGCCGTGTCAATAGAGAAAATGGGTCGCATTGGTGTGCTCACAGGACAACAGGGACAAATAAGGACAAATTGTAGGGCGGTTAATTAGATATATCTATTTGCATTTGCTCTTGTAAACCTTTGCAAACTTGTATTTTATAAATGTATAATAAAATAATATTTTAGGGGCCTGTTTACGTGTTGTTAAAAATGTATGCAGTACTTCTATTTAAATTTAATAAAAGTTGCTTTTCTTTCTATAGTCTAAATTTAGTAAAAAAATAAAAATCTAAGTGCATTTATTGTATAGTTATTAAATGATATTAGAATACATATAAACCCGCACATATGTACTATAAATTTAGCTTGTAACTTGGTTGAGCAGGAGTAAAAATTAAGAAAGTGTTTGTCCTTAAGCTTATAATATGTTGATATGGGGTAACTCTAAAGTTATTTTAGATATTTTCAGATCCGGTAGAATAAATCTGACATGTGATTCACATACTTTTTTTCTTTGAAAATTTGACGCCAGCTGATTAGTCACATGAAGGAATTGAAACTGAGATGAATACTGACAAAGAATGAATCTTGATTTCGCTTTCTGTTTTCCCTTTTAACATTTGAAAATATGCATTTCTTGAGTTTTGTTTAATGTAGAATGGAAGGGAAAGTGACGAGGACAAAGAAAGATGGATAGGGAAAGGGTGGCAATATTGATATTTTTGTTTCTTTTCTTGTTTGTTGAGGATGAGGAGGGTAAGCATGCGCATCAATAGTGGGGCTCTCTCGTATAAAATTCAGAGGTTGCTATCAATGCGTGAACCACCATGTCTTCTTCGTGCATGTTCACCCTTTCTCACTCTCCCCACCATCACTTTCCGTTGAGGTTCTTACCTCTTTGACTTCCATTAAAGATTTCTTTGTGTTGGATTCTTAGCAGCATCATTACTACAAACATCTTTTTACATGTATCATTATTGTTTCACCAAGTCAAACTTTCTATTGTAAATTCAATTATAATTTTCAAATGTTTCATCTTATCCTCTCTCTCACACACATACCCCAGAGATAGTCCAAATCAAATCAAATTTTACAGATTAGGTGCATTTGAAAGATCTTACCAGCAATTTTATAATTCTTGTAAGTTGTTTTCAATTTATGATATAAAACTCATTATATAACAAAACATTTGAAGATTCTACATATGGCTATTCCCCCTCCCCTGATTTTGTAGGAGTGCTCATTTCAAAAACACCATCATACAATTAGGGGTGTCAATAATTACCTCAGGGTTTGGCGCCAAATGCCACAAGCATAGTCTTTCAGCAAGTCATTATCAGCATTTAGCGTCATCAATATAAAACACAAGTCAAAACTAGAAATCAAGTGCAGCAAATAACATGATCATAATGGACAGGATTTTAGCAATAAGTAAGACAATATATGTATGTGTCCAAATATATATAAAAATGATGTTTCACGTGAGTCGAACTTAAATGATTCTATTCAGCCAAAAATAAAAACACATTAAATGATTCTAATTACATATGCATATAATACATATACGTTCTTAAGTAACGTTGATTTCCTGTCTCAACACTGCTGATGTGATGATCAGAACTTCAGAAGGTAGCTTGTCGCTATTAAATCTCTAATAGAAGGAATTAATTAATAATTAGAGAGTTGAAACAGGGCTTCTATTTATGAGCAGTGTTACTTCATTTTTAATCAACCTCTTAATTATAGCAATATCAACCTCTTGTAATTAAAGGGTACCAACAGAATAGCAATTTACTTCAAAAAATAAAACTAGTACATTCTTTGTTACTAATTAAATTATTATGTTAAATTATGTATCCCTAACCCTACTCGTTCAGCAAAAATGATCTAGTGCTGATCAAGAACGCAATACTAGCTGATCATAAAGTCCTGAAACATAGCATAAGGGTCAGATCTGTGGGCTATGCCGTTTTTCTGCTTTTAAAGCGGTAAAGTAAAATGAAATTGCAGAGAAACATTTTACGTGGGGAGCTGAATTATGGTGATGGCGTAGTGAGTGGGAAGCAAGAAGAATGCACAATGTTGATGGTGTATTGAGTCTTCTGATGAAGTTCCAATTCAAAAACAAAGAGAACAGAAAGGAAAACATAATAATAATGAGAGTGATACAATAATGCAACAAGATAGAATTTAGACGCAATTTCATAAGCATTAATAATATGCTTCTCTCACTAAGATTAACAACTCTTGCATTTTATCTTTGATAACAGCTGCGAACCTTCAATAATAATTTAGTTCAACAACTAAAATCAGCGTCAATCTTATATTTTATAGGTTCAATTTCAATTGAAAAATGGTGTTATTAATAGGACAAAACGCAACTGTAATATTTAGATGCTTTTAAAATTATTCTCCAATTAAAATTAAAATTTTACCTGAATAATTTATGCAATAAAAATAAACGTGGACACGAGTTTCTGAAACAAATCACTAAAGTTTCTACATAACAATAACCATTTAAGACTCATCCGCGGAATTATTTATGTATAATAAAATAGTGTTCATATCTGAAATTTTGGAAGCGGTAGTTCCGTAGTGGGAGTGAATGGATCATTCTGTTTGGCATTTGTACCGAAAGGATGATTCATTCCATAGAATCTCAAACCCAGACGTCAAGAAAGGTAGTTGATTGAACGTGTTAAGTTACATAAATTAAAATTGAATTCGGTTCCTTAGTATATTGTTATTAATTGTTCGTTTTGTTCTTATTTAATATTAAGTATGTTTATTTATGTCACGTTTACACGACTTCATGTCAGGATAGAAAGTTAATTAGTTCCACCCGAAAAACCAGAGGAAAATAATTGCTATGATAAAAGTCAAAATTGATAAAAACGAGTAAACAAAATGTTAAATTTAAAATCACATTAATGTGTTGATGGTTTGAGTTCTTATCAATTATGTGGCTTTAATTATCTTTACAGTCTCTTTTTCTGACGAAAATATTTTATTTTGAATATGAGATAAAAAGAAATTTAAAATTATGTAAATTTATAAACTTTTATTTTGTACAAAATTAAAGTAAACTTAAAATTACTTGGACTAGACCAACGTTGCTACAAATCTAAATTTGTAGTCTTCTAAAAATAAAGTAATTTTTATTATTATATATATATATATATATATAAATAATAGTAGTATAAGTTTAAAAATTCTTATACTCAATCTAAATATTTTATTTAATTTAAATTTTAAGTGTTATAATTTATTATTTTATTATGTATTAGATTTAAGTTAAATGACAAACTCAAATATAAAAATTTTTAAACGTAAACTAGTGTAAAAAGATTTTTTTAAATATATATATATATATATATATTTCTATATTTTTTATCTGTAATTTTAAGGAGTTGATACAAGAATTAAAAAAATATTTTTAGTTTTATTAATATCATTTTTTTAAATACAGTAAATAAAAATGAACAGAAGAAAGGGATAACATATAGGAAGAGTAAATAGCAAATACTAGTAGTAAATAGGAATAAGAGGACCACTGGATTTATTATATCACACCTTCCTTTTATTATTCCAAGTTAGAATTTCCAAGTCCCAACAAAAACCCACAGCATTCTGTACCCAAAAGAAAAAAACAAACCACCACAATTTTTTATTTTTATATTTTTCTACTCAGAAACTTGAATTTTTAAGCAATACAAACTTTTGTATTTTTACTTTATTGTCTGAAATCTAAACAAATCAGTCGCCAAAATCAACTGAAACGAGAGCGAAACTTTCGGCATTTCATTTTCTCTTTTTATAAAAAATTTTTACTCGCTTGTTGTTGTTCCTGTTCTTCTCCCTCTCATCAGTCCCCACCATTGTTAAACCAACACTCTCCATGATCAACCAACCTTAACTTTTCCAAAACCCACATTTCAGTTCCACTTCAATAGCTCCCTGAAAGAGTTTTTTTCTTCTTCTTTCTATTTTTCTATTTTCTTTTTTCAATTTAAGCACATTGATGATCCATTCACTACCATTACATGCAATGCGTTGACTTGGATTCACCACACTGCGCGTGTTCGTTGTGGGGTAGAAGAAGAATCGAATGGGTCTTTGCACATCGAAACCCATCCCATCCTCACCTCAATCTGATACTCAACACAATTCCGTCACAGCCAAACACAGTGCCGAACCTCACGCGAGCTCTGTCAATGGCGAAAACCCTAGCCACGAGAGGAAGGAGTCAGAGAGCGGTAAGAGATCTCCGTTTTTCCCGTTCTACAGTCCGAGTCCCGCCCACTACTTGTTCTCCAAGAAGTCGCCGGCCTCGCCGCGCCGGTTTTTCAAGCGGCCGTTTCCGCCGCCGTCTCCGGCGAAGCACATAAGAGCCGTGCTGGCGCGGCGCCACGGCTCGGTGAAGCCCAACGAGGCTACCATACCGGAAGGCGGCGAGGCGGTGGAGGTGGGGCCGGGGCTCGACAAGAACTTTGGATTCTCGAAGCATTTCGAAAACAAATATGATGTCGGAGATGAGGTTGGAAGAGGCCATTTTGGGTACACCTGTGTTGCAAAGTTGAAAAAAGGAGAGCTCAAAGGCCAACAAGTGGCTGTCAAAGTGATTCCAAAAGCCAAGGTTTCCAACAACATTCACAATTTCACATTCACATGCAATGCATAGTTAATTGTTATTCCTATTGATTTTTTCTGTTACTAGTTTTTAAAGACTGTGGTGGGTGATTCATTTAGCTTGTTAGTTATTGTAGATTTTATTGAATGAATTAGGCTTCCCAATTGAGCTGGCCTTGCGCTTCTTTCTACTTTGCCATAGGAAAAATTGTGTCGGTTTGTGCTTTCTAAAATATTCCTGATTTCTGAATTCTGCACAAGCATGGCAAATTGTTGAGGTAAATGAAATGACTGGTTCAAATTTTCAACGCTAGTGTTGGATGTGAGGGAAGGAATAAGGATTCCACTCGAATGGGTTCCATAGCCTATAGTCAAGTATGGATCTGTGGTTTCGTTTTAATTGTTATTCTAGTCTTAATTTTAATATTTACCTTTAAGCTACTTTGTCACGGTTCCATGTGTTGGACCTTTAATGGGAATGGATCTAGGCATTAAATAAGTGGGGCTTTATGAAAATTTATGAATATTTATGAAGAGAGAAATAGACATGAAATTTTCACATGACAAGGTAGTGTGAAAACTTAACATGAGGATCCATTTCCAATCTTTAACAGAATTCGTGATTTATTGCTGTGCATGCGCCTTGTAATTTATTGATTTAAACACCTCTAGGGTCTTAAAATTATATAATAAAATTATCTTTGGTGAAAAATGAAGCAAACTCACGTGATTCATGCACAAGGATTTTCTTCTTCAGATCTATATAATAATCTGTTTTAATTGTAGATGACCACTGCCATTGCTATTGAGGATGTGAGACGGGAAGTTAAATTATTGAGAGCTTTGACTGGACACAAGAATCTAGTACAATTCTATGATGCATATGAAGACGATGATAATGTCTACATAGTAATGGAGTAAGCTTTAATTATGTTGCTCATTTAAGTTAAATGCTAAATTTCATATTCTGTGTTAATTTGATTTATATAATCAAGATAATTTTTCCTCTTATTTTTGGATAATTAAGCAAGGAAAATGTGATGGATTTTATAAATAACAATGTTTCTTAAACTCTCATGCATCTCCTAGATTGTGCGAAGGAGGAGAGCTGTTGGACAGAATATTGTCAAGGTATTTATTTTATTTTTAAAATATACATTCTTCTGAATGTTTAGAATTCGTATGGTGTTGATTGAAATTGGGGATAAATGAAAATGATTGAAAGAGGTGAAATGTGGTATTGATGGCTATAAGATATCTCTTGCTCTTTCAGAGGTGGGAAATACACTGAAGAAGATGCAAAAACTGTCTTGAGACAAATACTGAATGTTGTTGCTTTTTGCCATCTACAAGGTGTTGTGCATCGTGATCTTAAACCAGAGGTGGAGTATATTTGCAATATTTTTTGTATATTTCTTCTTCTTCTTTTTTTCTCTTTTTGTAGCATAATATTGAGCTCAACTTAAGTAGTCAGATAGTCAAAATGTATGAAGTATCTTTTCCATTAATGATAGACTTTTTCCTATTATTTTGTAATTTTCTTTATCTGTTAGGAAGAAACACAGTAGAAAAAGAAAACGGAAGCTCTGGAAACTATTTTCTTATCTATAAATGTAATCCTTTACTGTTTTATCGTATTTAGTAAAAGTGTTTGGTTAATATTCAACCAGCCAAAAAAGGGAAAAACGCAATTTTCGATGCACCATTCACAGTTTTTTTGGTATTTATGAGAAGGGAAATACTGTTCCTTTTACTCAACATGGATTGTGTTTGTAATAATCTAATACATGCTATAAGATGGTTGGCATTTTTTAGTTTGGTATTTATGAGAAGAAGGAAAGTACTCTTCCTTTACTCAACATAGTGTGTTTGTAATAATCTAATACAAACAGGCTATAAGACAGTTGGGATTTTTTTTTATTTTGTATATGGATTGGTTGGTCTTCTAATACTTATCAAGCATAACTTCTAAGGATGGCTAATTTTTGGATCAGAACTTCTTGTTCACATCCAAGGACGAGAACTCAGAGCTGAAGGCAATAGACTTTGGGTTGTCGGATTTTGTTAAACCAGGTAAATTTTGGTTCCTTTTACATGTGTTCCATCCATTTATTATCATGGACTTGCTTCATTTTTTTTTACTTTTTTTTTGTGCTTTACAGATGAAAGACTTAATGATATTGTTGGCAGCGCTTACTACGTGGCCCCTGAAGTTCTACATAGAGCTTATAGTACAGAGGCTGATGTCTGGAGTATTGGAGTTATTGCATATATTTTATTGTGTGGCAGCCGTCCATTCTGGGCCCGGACTGAGTCTGGTATCTTTCGTGCTGTATTGAAAGCTGATCCAAGTTTTGATGAACCTCCTTGGCCATCTCTGTCAGATGAGGCAAGGAGTTTTGTTAAGCGATTACTAAATAAAGATCCACGGAAAAGAATGTCTGCAGCACAGGCATTAAGTGAGTTTTCTCAGCAATCATTGCTGGCCTTGTGCTTATACTTCCATTTTCTTACTTACTTATGTACTACAGGTCATCCATGGATTAAAAACTCTAAGGATGTTAAAGTTATGGATATTCTAATATTCAAGCTCATGAAGGCATACATGCGCTCCTCATCTCTACGAAAAGCAGCCTTAAGGGTATGTCGGTTTGTGTAAAATTTTGTCTGCTTTAATAAAACCTGATATTGAATGAAAATGAGCTTTGGAAGAACTGTACACTTCATTATCCTTTGATATCATTCCTATTGATTTTCACTAATGCAACTGTGGTCTCCATTAGGTCTCATGTTCTTCACCTGTTTAATAGGTATACTACATATCCAAGAGATCACTTTAAAGTTTTATGTTTCTGGCTTAGCAAGTTGATTGTTGCCTGAATCATCTGAGTAGCAACCCTGTTGATTAATTTATTTTGTTTATAACTAGGCAGACTCATGTTTTTTTTTCCTATAAATGAAATGTTTTTTGGAAATTTCGATTTGGAGTTAATGACATGACAAAAAGTTCCTACATATACATTTTTCCTTTTCAATCTGTTTGGTGTCACTTGAGCATTGCTTCTTTCTGTTATTTTGTTTGTTCCTACTGCTTTTCTTTTTTTAATCATGATCACACTATATGTGCCTCTGAATAACTCATTAGAATATTTTTTTCATGGGCAATGGGACAGGCTCTGTCTAAGACATTAACTGTTGATGAGCTAATTTATTTCAAGGAGCAGTTTGCACTTTTAGAGCCAAACAAAAATGGCACCATTAGCTTGGAAAATATCAAAGCGGTTGGTTTTGTTTCAAATTCTTTTATATATAAGATATTAAGAGGAGGGTGTTTGTCATCTCACTAATTTGCGCTGGCCAGGTCTTGATGAAAAGTGCAACAGATGCAATGAAGGAGTCACGCATTCCTGATTTTCTGGCATCAGTAAGTGCTATGGTTTGAATGTAGAATGCCTCAGTAAATTATTCAAATGGTATTTTGTAGCTGCAGTGGTTACTGTCTTATTGATACGAATAATTTGAGTGGCAGCTTAATGCATTACAATATAGAAGGATGGATTTTGATGAGTTCTGTGCAGCTGCACTTAGTGTTCATCAACTTGAGACACTTGACCGGTGGGAGCAACGTGCCCGATGTGCCTATGACCTTTTTGAAAAGGATGGAAATAAGGCTATAGCCATTGACGAGCTAGCTTCGGTATGTTTGATTTGACTATAATGATAGTTTATGCATACATGTCTTGTAAATCTTTATACTGATTATTACATTAATGTTACCATGCTGATTATTATATAAATGAAAATATCTACCTTTTTGAACTTTCATGGTGTTGCATTGTGATAGTATATTAATTTTCCTTATTCCTCATAATCATATTATTATTCGAGTCACCTATATGTAAACAGCGACCACATTTCATAGTTATGCAAATACATTTCTCATAATGGTTTTAACTAAATAATCAGGAGCTTGGGCTTGGTCCATCTGTCCCTGTTTATGCTGTTCTTCATGACTGGATTCGACACACTGATGGAAAATTAAGTTTCCTTGGATTTGTCAAATTGTTGCATGGCCCATCTAGAAGTCTAGCAAAAGCTCAATAGAGACATCAGAAGCCGAATTGAACAGCCAACAGTGCTTAACTATACTATATGATGACCTGGCCTTTAAATTGCTGATGGAGTTATCGCAACCCTATCATCAAGTGGTTGTGTTTCAGATTGTTCCTCAACATGTACCCTTGGAGCAGGGAGCCGAACCTGCCACAGGCGTTTGTTTTTTCCATTGTAAAGCTGTAGCGTATTAAGTTGCAGGTGAGAATGTCTGATTGTTATTAGAAGGGTACACTCAATATTGTAACATGTTCTGTATTCATAATTGATCTGTATCATTCTTGTGATCTTGTCCCCGTGCATATTCTTTGCCTTACATACAGAGCTGAATGAAAGATGGTTTTGGTTCTCCTTTGGACGTTTAACGTGGTAGCTTTTGGGAATTTGTAGTTTGATTTTTGTTGGATGGTTTTCTCATGTTGATAATGGGGCAGAAGCAGGACATGTGAAATTCCAATATCCTCGGATCACGAAAATTGCAGAGGATCTAATCCGTCAAAATTAGTTTACCCTGAAATGAAAAAACATATTTTCATGATAAATCTATCCTAATTTCTATTATTGCAATAAACTTATAGTTGCTGCTATAAAAGTTTTTATCTTACGAAAATCAGGCTGAAAAAGGAATCCACGTACTTGAGAAGTATTGAACATTGTACGGACAACCTTTTATTTAAAAAATGAAAAATGTTTAAATTTATAAAAAAAAAAATATGTATTAAGTAATTTAAATAAACAAATATAACAAAAAAAAAAGTAATTTAGGTATGAGAAGTAAATTAAAAAATTGTTAAATAATTAATTTGAAAGTATGAAGAGTTGAAATTTGTGAAATATTAAATAAATAAAAGTAAAAAACAATTAATGAAGTATAATTATGGGATTATAAAAGAAAAAGAGAATGCAATAAAAACTGTGTATCCAGTGAAGAATGAAGAATCATACTCGGTAGTTGATAATCATCCACACATAAGAAGCGTAAAATAAATGCTTGGATATCAATAATTAATAACATGGATGAACAAAACACTTGATGGGCAATGGGCAATGGGCAAAAAGAGAAGAAGAGACAGAATGGTTGGGGAGATAAAGAATCGTGTAAGAAGAAGATGATTGATCTAATACTCATGAGAGGGCAAAATGGCGGCAATGCCTTCTCCGTTCAGTACCCGGCAAACCATCTTTCTCCTTTCATTAACTGGGCTAGAGCCTAGACCGACATCTATCCAATACATAAAATTACACGATACATGTAGAAGCAGTGGGTAACAGTGGAAACCGCACGTAAAGGGACATGCCCAGTTATGATAGGATCACCAATGTTTCTCTACTCTTGTATTAAAAATGTAAGAAAAAGGAATACCTTTTTCACTCATTATCGTACCCCTGCGTTCTACATTGTCCTTATTCTCAACCATTTATTTTTTGTTTTTATTAAGAAACACTTAATAATTATAGGTGTTTTTGGACCCGAAAATTAAAGCCATTTTATATTTTTTTAAGTTAATGACTATGATATATTTATATTAATATTTTGAAAATTACAAAAATATTAAACAATTACATGTATCAATTTACGAAAGATATAAAATATTTTTTTCAAGTTTATGAACATGATAAATTACACATTTAAAGGATATAAAATAATTTTTAATGTTTGAAAGCACAGTAGAATTTATCATAATTATTATATAATTTATATATATATATATATGTTTTTAAAATTCTTCACTTTTTTTTGAAAAAAAATGAATTAATTAGTATTTTTAAAACTTTAAAAAAGTTTGGTTGTTGAGAGATTTAGAAATTCGGCCCAAAAAGTGTAGATCGAAATGAGAATGAAGCCAAAGTCCAGCGCTGCGCCGTACTCGTCTCATTTCAATTTTTAAATATTTCTGAAAAATGAAATGAATGCGAGTGATTACACTTGCAAGAACTCGAGAAATGAATGAGACGAAAGGAAAGGACGCAGTGACGCTTCTCTCTTCTTCTGAAGAAGATGACGATGGTTATGAAGACGATGACAGCGATCGCGATGAAGCGTCCGAATCCGATGACTGTGATCAGGACGATTCCTCTCTCTCCGACGAAGTTGTCACTCTCCTTCAAGGTTTTTGCTATTTCACTAATGAAGTTCTTAATGGCGCGTCGATTATTATCATTGAATTCTGCGTTTTTTGTTTAATTTTCCAGAAGGAAATGATATAGAATATTTGAAATTGAACGAATGCAAAGCGTATTTACGGAAACACGGCTTGAGGATCGCAGGAAATAGAGATGTTTGTGTTGCGAGGATAAAGGAGCATTGGAGGTAACGGTTTCCGATTCAAGAAGTTTATTGACTACTATTGAGCATTGCTTCTTCTTTCAACCACCTTCTGTGATGTCTACACAACGATGTATTTCTGCTGAAAGTGACGAAATGCGATACCATTTTACTTGTCATTTTCGCCACTCGTGAATATTACTTTTACCTGATTTTCCTGAGTTGTAATCGAATGTGAAGTTATTTGTTTAGAAAATTGGATTAATCACGGATTTAATTGGATTCTAGGTTTCAGAGTTTTATGCTGTATTCTTAGTATGGTAGAATCATGCATCTACCTCGAGTTGACCATGTGGAAAAAATGTGGATTGACGACTTGTAAGATTGTGTTAGAAGCAAATTTCAAGACACGGAAATTTTGTATCAAATGGTGAAGCTGATGATGATTTGTAGATGTCTTCATTTTTACTTTGTTTTTTAAAAGGAAATTTAGTCTGCTTTTTTTATTTTTGTCCATGAGTTTTACATTAATTTATGTCAACTAAAGAGATTATATTTTTCCGGTAGTTATCTCTTATAAATAAGTGAGTCATAGCCGTTAAGATATTAACCACCCTGCCCCAAAGCTAAAGCTGAAATCAAATGATTAGAGTAAGATACTGATTGTCTCTGCAAAGATAGGTTTTGATAGTTTTTGATTTTGAATTATTATGCTTACCTCTTCATGTTACCTTACACAGTGACTATTTTAATGTCTCAGGTTGAAACACGAAAGTGGGTACACGCTGTACCCAAGATCATCCTTTACTATAAATTGTACTGGTAAATTGTTTTTATCTTTTTCTTTCATCTGCCTTACCCTTATCATTTTTAAATAAATACTAGTTTTCTCATTTTCCTTAGGTGATGTCTGCATGGGAGATGTTGTTCTGTTCAGACAGAAGGTTTATGAAAAGTAATTTGTTTCTCTCGTCATTTTTAATAAATGATTTCCTTCCGTTCCAGTATTATTCTCTTACGAGTCATTTATATATCTCACCAGGTTTGATAAAGTGATTCGGCATGGACAACTTCTAGGAAACAGAACTGTTGCCGGGAGGGTTGTGAAGGAAAGCTATGGTGCTGCTAAACAACAGCATACGTTCACTGTAAGTCAAAAGTTTAGATGAGTTTGATACTTGGAAAGAGTCAAGGATTACACCTTGGTCTTTTATTTGGTCATGAATTACTTGGTAACGTGGCTCTTGTAAACTGAGCAGTGCAATGGCTGTCCTGGCTGGTGAAGTAGAGTTCTGGTTTCTCTCTCAAATTTGTCTTTGAAAATTTTACTTCACTATTATGTTTAATTTTTTATTGGTGTTGGGTACCCAATTTTTTGTACTTGAATATAAAGAAACAGAGAATCAGAAAAGAAAAACTGCAAACTTGGTTTTATTGTTGCATATCATCCCAAAGAAATTTCTTTGCCAGATTTTGCAGATTAATATTCTACAGCTTTGTTACCAAATGAGGAACTCCTTATAGTTAAAAACTCCTGCTTGGTCAGTGATGATGACTTATTGCTAATCAAATTCTTCATCTATGTCTTCCAGGTCGAGGTACTGTGGAGTAGTGGGGTTAGGAAATTGCCTCCACTCTTTCCTTTGCTTGTAAAGGGCCGAAATCTCTATAAACAGAAAACTTACCGGCAGGTATCAATCAGCGTGTGCAAACATCTACCTTGTTTTCTCATCCTTCTTCTAGACATTACAATTTGTTACGTTTATTGTTCTTCATGCTTTAGAGATGGAAAAAGGAAGCTGATAGAGTTGAAGTGCTCTGTGAGAAGCACAATCGTGGTGCTGCAGCTAGATCTGTGAGAGCATTGAAGCAAAAAAAGAAAAGATATGCAAATCAATCTTATGGTAATTTGAACTTTAGTGGCTGGCTTTGTTGCACTATTTTACAGTTTTTCAAATTATTGGTATCTTGTCACTCATATCTGATATCTTACTGTTATTAGGTTCAAAACGGCAGCATGAAATCCATAATACAAAACTAGAAAGATCCTGTGTAGTGGCTAAGGTTAGGCACCGAGATGACCCCAAAAGAGCAAACTACTTTCTACCCCAAGAGGCCAGTTCATCAACTCAAGCACTATGGAAGGAGAATGCTTCTTCAAGAACCACCAGATCTACAAGGGGAAGGCATAAAACTGCTGAATTTGACCGTTATCAAGCTCCAATTTATTCAATGTACGGTAGTTATCCACAAAGTTCATTCCAATATCGAGTATATTCTCAAAGCAGGAATGACCAAGAGAATTCTTTTATCACGAGAGAGCTCTAATTCCAAATATGACAGGATTCCCACCTTTGAGTTCTCGTATCGATGAATTCACATCTAGATCACGACATCTGGCATCCAGCGATAGTCATCGTGCCCACACCAGCTTATACGACTTTGAAATGAATAATTTGAATGTTGGTCATGTTGACAGGCCGTTACGATCGTCTCCAAAAGTCAAGTATGGACGGAGAAAGTACGGTGTATGATGTGATGTATTTTTCATTAGGGAAACTGATACTCCAAGCAGTTTGGTTTCGCCTATTAACAGTGGCATGCTTTGGGCTCTCCATTTGCATTTTCCAGTTTGTTCAAGTGTACATACAACCCTTGACCAATAAAAAAAAGTCTACATACAACAGATGATTCGCAATGGAGGGAATGTAAGCATTCTTTTTTCAAACGTTGCTTGGTTAGGATGTACAGATGCTTCAACACTGTTTCCGAACAGATATGCAATCGTATCGAATTACACCCTTGTGATATACTTTGGGATACTTCTAAGTAGTATCTTTGAATGATTTTTTTTATCAATATAAGTGAAATGACATATTGTTTAGATTAGGTAAATTATAATATTTTATTAAATCTCTAATGATTAAAACTAACTTACATATATTAATGAATTTATTTTGAAATAGAACTCGTTGATTTTTGTTAATATTACATTAGTTTTTTTTTAAAAAAAGTTTTATCATGCCTTTTAATAATTTTTGGTATTCATGTACTTGTAGTGTGTATAATTCACATGTTTTGAGCTACCAAAGGTATTATAATTCTGGTCTTGTATTAACTGGCTCTATAATTGGAAATTGATGAATTGACCATTCTAGTGATCGCGATTCAAATAGTGAAATACTTTAATCTCTCCTTGCCATATCCTTATATTGGATTAGTATAAATATAAAACAATTTTTTTAATGTGTGCACGTGCAAAATACTTTTAATGTTTTTCTAAGGTGTTAATTCATGTGACTCATCATAAGACATGTAAATAAGCGTCACTCTTGATGAAAAACATTAAATAATTCACAAATGTACGGGTTGTGATATGTCACTGTCTTGTGCATGAAATTATATTAGGGTTTTTGAAAGCAACAAATAAATAGAGCCATTTACGTATCAAATGTAACTTTCTCCTAAATACTTTAATTTCAGTGAGTTATAATTATAGTATACTTTGAGTAGACTAATAATCAATACACTTTATTTATGTTGTTGGAGAAAATTTAAAAGGAATTATTTCTATGAAAAATATAGACCTAACAGGTCATTGATTATTTTTAAAAAACAATTGTTTCTCATGAAAGACAGCTTAAGATAATTCGAGTCAGCAGGTCTTAAATAATAAATACTCGTTCTTAATACAAATGTGAACAAGTCTTCGACTTTGGGCATTAATAAGCCTGACGTGATACGGTAAATAGCAATCATCGTATATTCGTATTCATATTTCATAAATTATGGGTTATTATATAATTATATTAAATAAATATAAAAATTTTATTAACCTCACTCCTAGGACTAAAGATAAATAATTAATAATAATAAAATTTTATTAAAAAATAAGTATTTATTATACTTTTATAATTTTAATATAATAATTATGTAATTTTTTTATAAAAAATTTTATTTATAAATACTTAAACTCAACTTCAAGGTTAAAAAATTTTTAAATATAATATTTTATTCATATATGTCTATTTCTCGCTTGTTGTATGTCTTTCACTTTCAGTGAGATCCAGATCTCCTTATGTTTAAAATCGAACATGAAAATTATGTTAGTGTAATTTTATACGCTTGCTTAAGCAAGTAAATTTTACTTAAATAAAATTATAAAATTAAACCAAGATAACTCTCATATTCGATTTTAAACATGAATGGATCATTTTCTCTTTCAGTGTAACGCTTCCACTATCACCTCTTTCGCTGTCTCTCATTTTTCATTTTTTTGTGGACCCAAAAGAAAAAGATAAAAGAGGACCATTTTTCCCAGTTTTATGCCAATGAATTGTCACAGGAAGCTAGCTAAATATGGTAGAAAATGATAGCAAGCCGTTGCTAAAAGAGACGAAGGCAATTGGTAGTCCTCAAAAGAATAAAAAGAATAAAAGAAAACGACAGTTCAAATAATTCTTGCATTACTACATTAACAGGTTTTAGACACTATTTAGTTTTAATTATTTTTAAAAGATAATTCAAGATAGTAATATTGTTTGAGTCTTATAAAACTCAAAATAAAATAAGCTTTAATATTATATTAAAAAAAATTAACTTACATCGTCTAGCCAAAAATAATATTAAAAATAAATTCAACCTAACTTGCTAATTTAAAAAATTATTATTATTAATTAACATAAAACATATTAACTTGAGTTACGCAACCTCCATGGGAAATGATAACGCTACCTATGTGGGTGCATGCGTGACACGTTTATGATATTCATCAACCACAGAAGCAGTTTCAAACTAAATCATGACTGAGGAACGTTACACACCCTATGATGTTCTAGGTGGAAGTATTGTTTATTTTACATCCAATTTTTCTTATTAAAATCATTAATTTTAACTCTTAAAATTAAAATTAAGCAACTAAAAATAATAAAAAATATTTATTATATTTTTAAAAAATGTAATTATTTAAAAATAATATTTTTTAGTAAAAAAATATATTTATTATAAAAATATATTTTTTAAATAAAAATTTATTATTAATAATTACTTAGAATTTTAAACCCCACTCTAATGATTAAAAAAATTATATTTTTATATAAAAATTACAATATATTACAAAATCTGACACATTTTTTTAGCCTGTATTTTTAGACACGTTTAAAAAATTATTCTTATATTCAAGATACATAAGTATAAATAATATTTTATTAAAAAGAAAACCTGTTATCATTAATTGCTTAAACTCAGCAGTAGGGAGTTGGGGATACAAATCTGTTTATTTTATATGTAATTCTGACTCTTTAAATTTTAATTATTTTATATTTAATTTATTTAAATTGAGTCTCTTATATCAAAATCTGACTTAATAATTAATAAATATATAATAGAGATGTAACATGTTATTAATTTACATAAATTAATAAATATATACAACTTTTAAATAAAGATAATCAATAACATGCATTAAATATAGTAAACCTTTTTATTTCTATTTACATGTCATACATACTTAAATAAATTATAATATTTAAAATATAAATTAAGTTTAATTGTTATATTTGTTTTTTTTATATATGATTTGTTTTAAAATTTTATCAGAGATTTTTACTTTTTTAATCTTTCTTTTACATCAAACGTAATTATTTGATGGTTACTTGATAAATAATTATTTTTTATATTTAAATTATAATTATTTTAAAACTAAATTAATTAATAAAACCACTTTTTAGGAATAAATTATATTTCCTGTAATCTTAGGAACCGATTTTATTTCCAGTAAATTGGCTTAATGTTTCCTATAAACTCTCCCTTGTAAATAATAAATAATAAAATGTAAAATTGCAGGTTTTCAAAAAATACTCTCTTGATATATTCACACGTGTAATCTTGTGTTTTTCTTGTAAGTTAAAAGGCTCTGACCATTCCAACCCAAATATTCTTAATATTCGATCTTTTAGTTTCATTGAATTTGCTTCGTTTAATGAAACATTTTAAGCTCAAAGCTTAAGAAGCAGAGACATGATTCGGATTTTTTGTTATTTCTTCTCCGTCAATAATTGCATTGTTTGAATAAAAGTTAAAACTTAAGTTCAATTTTTTAAGTACTTTCAGTCTTATTTTTCTATTCAAATTAAAGTTATATCTCAATAATTTGTTGGCATCTGAAGTTTGCATATGTTAGGTGAAATTTTAATTTTAATTAAATTAATAATAAATACTTGAAAAATTGAATTTAAATTTTGTTCTTTAATGACAAAATACTATCAATTAAGTTAAAAAAAATACACCTTTATCTTGAATTTTGTTTATTATATCTTAATTAAAAACATGCCTGAATAAATAATTATGTTTAAAAATACACTAAAAATATGTAAAATAAATTTAAAATAAAAATATAATTAATAGTACTGAAATAAATATAAATTTAAAAGCATTCTAACGTAAAACTTTTTAATATAATAAATATTTTAATAAAAGTAAGAAAAACAATAAAAAATTCAAAATCAATGAATATTTATAAATTAAGAAAAAAGAACTAAGAAAATAGGTATGGAAAAGTTTTTCTTAAATAAATATTTATTTTTCTTTAAAATAAATTCATCAAAATTATAAAGTGGGTATGGGAAACCATGGATCATAATCCATTACCAGAAAAACGGAGAGCTGTTGAAACGTTACCTAACATTCACAAACACTCACAGTATCACTAAAAATAGAAATAGGTTAAATTTTGTATAAACAGGTTTCATCTATTTAATAATTTTAAATTTTAAATTTAATATATTATTTATTATAATTTTTTATTAAATTTAATTTGATTTTTAAAAATTTAATTAATTGATTAATTTTTTTAATAACTTACTTAATATTAAAATATTTAATAACTTCTTAAATTTTTTTATAAATAAATTATTAAATTATTTAAATAAATATATTTTTTTAAGAGTTATAAAACTTATATTTAAATAAATTATTAAAAAATAATTTAATACCTTAAATATATATAATAAAATTATATATTTTTATTTATTATTTTTAAATTATATATTTAATTTAAATAAGTAAATTATTATACATATAAAAAATACAATAAAATAAACATTAATTTATAAATTATTAAACAAATCTAGTAACATAAAGTTTTACATATTAAATCAGCAAGTACAATATAATTAATAAGTTTTAAATCTAAAATTAATAAATACAACAAACAAAAATTTAAAATGTATAAATAATAATATTTTTTTATATTAAATAAAAAATAATAAATATATTATAAAATTTTTAAGAAAATTTCTTTATATTGCTTATTAACTTTTAAAATAAAGAAAATATTATTAGAATAAAAATATTTTTAAAAAATAATTATAAATTTTTTACAAATATTTTCAAGTTATTAACTTAAATTTTTTTATCAAATTATACTTGTAACAAAATTAATCACTATCATAAATTAATGCTTCAATAGATTTATCAATAATTTTACTTTCAAAACTAAAATAAATTCTAATATCACAGTTCAAATTTAATATATTATTATATTATAATTTTTATATAAAATTATTTGATATATTATTATAAATTTTAAATTAATTATTTTTATAATTTTTTTAACTCAAATTTAATTTATTTAATTAATTAAATTTTTAAATTAATTTTATTAATTAAATAAGTTAACTCAGACTAATTTTCGGCCTGCCTATTTTTAGTAAACAGTACCATTTCGGCGCAGGAACGAACAAAATTAAGGCAATTGCCGCTTCCCTCAGATTGCTGGACTCCGCGCTCCTTGCCCAAGTTCTCATGAATGGGAACCAGGTGACTCGCGCTCTAACCCTTGAGACCAATCGTTGGTCAAAACAAGCTCAACAACGGAGTTTGGTTTCGAAGGGCTCTGATAATACTTGTTCTAGTATGAACTTTCCATAGTATATCCACAGTATTATGATATTGTCCACGGACTAAGCTCTCGATGTTTTTGTTTTTGGACATAATTAATGGAGATATACCGTACTTATATGTGGTTGATCCTGCTGATTCTAGTTAATGTGTGACATTATTCGCACATACCAACATAAAAAGAATGGTTTAGGGTAAGTTCTTCAGCGTTTAGCTTAGTTGTTAGGATTTTGGCTACTAAGGAGACGATGAAGCAATTTTGGATCACTCTTAGGATGATGAATGAGAAGGGGTTTTATCTTGATGAAGAGACGTATCTCATAATTCCTATGGGTTTTAAAGACGCAAAGATGACCAATGATTCTGTTGCTCTGACCCATTTCTATAATCGAATGATTCAGGAAAATGCAAAGCAAAGTGTCGTCACCGAGGTGGTTGGCATCATTGTTGGAAATGAATGGCGTCATGATGTTATGAATGAACTTACGAAGCTTAAAATTCAATGGTAGGATAATTTTGTTATAAGGGTTTTGAAAGAGCTTTCTCGCCCTTTAGCGGCTTACAATTTCTTTCATTGGGTTGGGAAACAATCTAGTTTTGAGCATAATACAGTGACTTACAATGCAATTGCTAGAGTTCTTGCAAGGAGAGACGCAATTGAGGAGTTTTGGAGTATTATTGAGGAAATGAAGAGTGTATGCCATGAATTGTATATCGATACTTACATAAAGGTATCAAGGAAGCTTCGAAAGCATAAGATGATGGAGGATGCTGTCCAGCTTTACGAGCTTATAATGGATGGTTCATATAAGCCATCGGCTCAGGATTGCAGTGTGCTTTTAAGGAGCATCTCTGCAAGTGATGAGCCAAATTTGCATTTAGTTTACAGTGTGGCCAAGAAATATGAGTCAACAGGGCACATTCTCTCCAAGGCAATCTATGATGGAATTCACAGGTCTTTGACAAGAGCTGGGAAACTTGATGAAGCTGAAAATATTAAGACCATGAAAAATGCTGGCCATGAGCCTGATAACATCACCTACAGTCAACTGGTTTTTGGACTTTGTAAAATGAGGAGGTTTGAAGAAGCATGTAAAGTGCTGGAGGAGATGGAATCTTGTGGATGCATCCCTGATATTAGGACTTGGACCATCTTGATACAAGGGTATTGTGATGCCAATGAAGTAGATAAAGCATTATTTTATTTTGCTAAGATGATTGAAAAGGGCGGTGATGCAGATGCTGATTTGTTGGATGTTCTGGTTGATGGTTTTCTCAAACAAAACAAAATAGGAGGTGCGCACGAGTTGGTTAAAGAGATATGTGGTAAGTTTGGTATATCTCCAGGCAAGCTACATATAAGAAATTGATTGAAGAGCTATTAGGAGTCATGAAGTTTGAGGATGCACTTGAACTTCTTCGTTTGATGAAGAGTAGCAACTACCCTCCATACCATCAACCCTTTGTGTTGTATATTTCAAAGTTTGGGTCTGCGGAAGATGCTGCAGAATTCATGAGAGCATTGAGTATAGAAACTTACCCATCCACCTCAGTTTATGCTCAGGTTTTTGAATCCTTTTTCCGAGAAGGCAGACTCTGTGAGGCCAAAGATCTATTGTACAAGTGTCCTCACCATATACGTAAGCATAGTAAAATCTGTGAACTTTATGGTTCATCTGAGAGTCACATTGCTGATGCCTGATCCCTAGAAATTTTTTCCCTTCTAGTATGTATCTTTTCTTTCTTCAAAATTCAAATGATAAGTATTATCAAGTTTGATCAAGCTATAAGGTGGATTTGGTCATTGCTTCTTGGAAAATTACTGGGACATAATATAAGATTTTATGTCAGGTTGAGCTTCATTCTAAAATTATAAAAAAATTTATGACAAATAATGCTGTCATTAACCATTCTTTTTTAAATAACTATTCAGTCATACTTCTATATTTTTTTCACAAAAATAGATGTACATATTTGACAATTTGTTAATTTAAAAAATATTTTTAACAAGAGCGTTGTTTTAACTTTCAATTAGGGATAAAAATAAGTTAGGTTAGATTTTACATAAATAGGTTTATCCTATTTAATAATTTTGAAGCTTAAGTCTAACTTATTATTTATTATAGACTTTTTATTAAGCTTGACCTATTAGTTTTTTTAATATTTTGTATTGAGAACTTCATTAAATCATTAAATATTTTTATAAATAGGTTATTAAATTATCTAAATAGGTGTATTTTTATAAAGATTATAAGACTTATATCTAAATAAACTATAAAAATTAGTTCAACTGTTTAAATATATATAATAAAATTACATATTTTTATTTCATCAAAATATATAATTAAAATAATACAAATACAAATTATCAGTATATACAAATCAAACAACAATAATACAAAAGATTTTAGAAAATAAAACTTTCACTTTTAAAAGGTATAAAGTATTGATACTCTTTAACTACAACAACAAAAATTAAAGTTTATGAATTAAAATTTTATTTATTTTAAAATTTAATTTATTTAATATAATTTATATTATAATTATGATCTACAATTATTTAATATATTTTTATAAATTTTAAATAGATCATTCTAATAGATCTAACAAATTCTTAAGCTTAAGTCTAATTTATTTAATTAATTAAATCTTTTAAAAAGTTTAAATTAAGCATATTATATACATACGCCAATCTAAATTAAACCTTAAAAAGTTAAGCTATATTACATAGGCTTAAAACCTATTTTTATCCATACTCTCAATGTTAGATAATTGTTTATTACCTTGGCTTTGGTAATCGTAATTTCAGTATTGAATTTCAATTTTCTTTTGACAAATGTCTTATTATTCACTTTGGAACCAGAATATTATTATTAAACCATTTTCAATGAACCATAGATCTTCTTCATGACTTCTCATTGTAACTTCTACTGCCATTTTTAAATACTCAAGGTTTCTAGCAATTTTATACTACTGTAGCAAACATTTCTTGTACTACAATGCAGCAAACACAGGGATTGAACTTTCGATTGACACTTAAAATTGAAAAATTATTTCAGTCAAGAAGCTTAGATGCTCTCACTTTTTGTTTCTTTGTTCACAAGAACATAAAATGGTTACATAAAAAGAAAGACTGGCACCAGAAATTGGGGCTTTCTTTGAATGCTTTGCACTTCCTCTCATTTTCAGCAAACAGATCGAATTCATTAATCAAAGATTGAAGGTCAAGCAAATATTTATGAAGTTCAAGGTCTACAAGCAGTATTCGTTTATACCTCACATGTCTCTGCGGTCGGTAGTACAGTAGTTGCTCGAACTGTTGCCTGGGTGTTGCAGCTTCATGAAAATCAGGTACATCTCATATTCATTAGCATAATTTGGAACAATGATATTCTTAAATCTGAACCAATTCTGTATGATTAGCCATAAGACCAAAATGAATACATGCACAGATGGGAAGAAAGTTAAAATTATGAGTTTGTTAACCTTAGCACTTAAGAATTAAGCATCTAAATGCAGTAAATTTTTATTGAGAACGAAAACATTTATTATATTGGAGATATAAATGCTTTTTTAAAATAAAATTTATTACTTTTCTATATTTAAATTTAGTTTTAAGGGATGAAGTCAATAAAACCGAAAAAATTAAGGTGTATATTATGCCTTGTAGCCTTTTTTACACGCGCAAAAAAAAAAAAAAAAAGATGATGCTCTAATATTTCACAGTGAGCTTGAAGAGTTGGGGGACCAACATTAACTTAGATATCAGTTGTATCAACAAAATATCTGCACTAGAATGGAAAAATCTGTTTTAATCTAAAAGATATATCAAACATCAATTAAGACCTTTTAAGCTTAAAATTTTGAAATTGATACCACATGTTTTTGTTTACTGTTTTAGTGTTTGATTTAATAATATTTATCATTCCTTTTTAACGTGGTAGTTATACATAGATTCGTTAACTCATGGTGAGAGGTTAGTTTCAAATTCCAAATTAGTTATAGAAAGTAAAACCTGTTCGTGCTATTCTTTGCTCTCTTTCTTACTTCCTAATATTGCTTCTTATCTTATATAAGCTATGTTTTCATTTAACTACTTAATTATTTGTTTAAATTCTTTTGTGTTTAGCTTACATATTATTGTTTGTGGGTGCAAAAGTTATGTAGATACTAGAGCTTATGTTATTGTGTAACCAAAATATGACAGAAAGCATGATTGTTAAGAGTGTTACAGGTTAGAAATTGTGCAAAGCAATGTTTTGAAGAGTTTATCATTTTATCAGTGGCTTGCTCAGTGAAAGTAGCCAAGAGGCCTAGGCAATACAAGTTAAAACTTTATTAGAATGCATGAGAACTCAAGGTGGGAGGCTAACATCAGTGAAAGTTATAGCATCTTGAAATAGTCTTAATATAATAAATATTTTAATAAAAATAAGGAAAAAAAACAATAAAAAAAATTCAAGATCAATGAAGAAGCAACCTAAAAAAGAACTGCTAATAATATACTAAATGGTTTGAAGTTGTTGAAATTTTAGAGTTTTGGAAGGGAAGAGGTTAGAGGAGAGAGAGGGAGGGAGAGAACTGTGAATAATAAACTAAATAATTGATAGATAGTTTCAATCCCATATCCTAACATTTTCCTATTTATACTAATAATTAGGTCAAAGTACTTGTACTACTAGTACAAGGCCAATCCCACTAACTGTGATTTGAAATTACTCATACTATTGATGAGATGATGTATAGATGGTACTCTAGTTCTTTGAATAGAGTGATTTAAAAGTTTGCCACTTTTGTAATTTAAGATTAGCTGCAGGTTTGGTCAGTTTGATGGAGCAAAAGAAACTTTTGAAGTTACTGTACATTATGAAAGCATGCTTGATCTGTTTATATGCCACCTTAATCCTAGTGCCATGAGGTGTCTTGCTCAGAAGTTGGAAGAAGAAGCTCTTGACTCAGAATTTAGGCGAATTTGTGAAAGGATTTTACAGGTTCGATCTACTGGATGGACACAAGGCATTTTTGCCAACTTTGCTGCAGAAAGTATGGTTCCTAAAGGACCTGAATGGAGTGGTGGAAACTGGGAAATCAAAACCCCTGCTAATGCAAAGGATATACCTAAGTGGGAGCTTGCTGCAGGGGTGACACAATACATGAAAACTAATGATGGTACAATTCCATCCATTATTGTCGATCATATTGGTGTGTATTTAGGCTCGATTAAAGGAAGAGGCAATGTTGTTGAGGTAAAGGAAGATAGTTTGGTTAAGGCCTTCATCCCAGCAGGTAATGTATCAAAGCAATTGGTCTTGAAGTATCTTCAGCTAAATCCATATATAATCAACAGGCTGAAGCAGCAAAAGAATTTAAGAAATCTATGTATGGAGCTGCTGCTGCTGATAGCAGTAATGATGAGGAAGGAGTATCAAAACCAAAAAGATGCATGTTAGAATACGGGACAAGCCAAATGCCTCTTCTACTGTGGATGTGAATAAGATTAAAGAAGCTGCTAGTAAATTTAAACTAGGTTAGCTCCATCATGGAGCAGATCATTTACAGGATCTCAAGATCTTGGCCAGATTTTGTCTCTGCCACCTGCACCTACTGGAATAGCTGGTCCTACTGTTTCAACTCCTGGTGACCTGTTTGGTACAGATGCCTTGACTCAGCCAGAATCAATTTCACAGCCAACTGATGGAGTTGTAAGTGGGGGAATTAAAGCAGGACCTATTCCAAAAGACTTCTTCCTGGGACATATCTCTCTAAATTTAGTGCAGGGGTCCAAAGTGGCAAGGAAACTCTTAACCAGGTTAGTGCTTCTGAAGTTGATGTTGGTCTTCAAGGTAATGTTCCTCCTCAAGCTGTTCAACAACCTGCGTTCCCACCGAGTCTGTAGGACTTTCTGATGGTGGTGTCCCTCCACAATCCTTAGCCCAGGCTGCAGTCGTGCCCCATCACAGCTGCCAGCACCAATTTCTAGCCAACCTCTTGATCTTAGTGTACTTGGAGTACCTAATTCTTCTGATTCAGGAAAGCCTCCACAAACCAGTTCTCTGCCATCTTCTGTACGACCTGGACGGGTATAATAAATAAATACATGCGTGCCTATCCATTTACATGTTTAATTAGTAATGCTGTCTGGCCAGAGTATTAAAGATATTTTGTGTTATTTCTTTTTCTGAGATTCTATGATATTTTGCATGGGTATTAGGAAAGAATGTTGGAAGACATGCAAGAATTAGATCTACCGGATTAACTGGGCATCTAGTATAAACAGATAAGAATACTATATAATGATTTTTCCTTTAATCATTTTGTGGATGATGGTGGCAGAGAATAAATTAAATAGATTTGGGAGGAAAAATTTTCTGATTGAACTGGTGTACAGACAGTGGTTACGTCTGTCTTCTGATAATGGCACAGATGAGAAGTCAGCTATACTGAACCTGGTGAGTGTTAGCCTCCCACCTTGGTAACTAATGTGTATTTTTGGAGGAAATGCAAGAACAGCAGGGAATTAGAAGCATGTGGGGGCTGTAACAATCTGCACACATGGCAGGTGGGGCAGGGACCTGATTCTGTCAGTGAAATGGAGTAAAATTAGGGGCCACGGGGGAAAGCAAGCAGGGTTTGACTGAGGATTGAGGAGTCTTAGTATCACTTCATTTTCCTCGTGTTTTAATATTTTGTACAAAGCATTATATGATGCTAATATCAGAAGCTCGGAAAGGAACTCCTTGAGATTTCTTTATGAAAATGTGTTCTAGTTCTGCTTTCCTATTACTGAGCATGTACAGTTTCTTTTTTTGTTCCCAATCTCATGGCTCATATGGCAGGTTCCCTGAGGGGATGCTGCTTCTGTATGTTTCAAGATTGGACTTGCTCACCTCGAGCTAAATCATCTTTCGGATGCTTTGTCTTGCTTTAATGAAGCTTTTCTTGCATTAGCTAAGGAACAATCTTGCGGAAGCGACATAAAAGCTCAAGCAACAATCTGTGCTCAATACAAAGTAACTGACTATTTTTCAGGTACTATTACTGTGCCTCAATTTCTAACAGCATGGATAGGATGGCCTCTGACCTAAAAATAAATTAGGTAATTGAGCTTATGTTTCTCTTGGCCATAAGGTAGCATTGTCATAAAACTGTTGTTATTGATTTTCCATGCTGTGAATATTTGTTGTGTATTTAAGTAAACAATCCACTGACTTCAAGATAGAAAGCGTTAAAATGTTACACATTGGCCAAGGATATAGCTAAAGTAGTTCTTACAAGTCTTGGAAAATCCTCTTCCCTTAAAATAGTTTTTGAGGTTGAGTTAGGTCTGATCCATTTTCAATAGCAAGCATAAAAAAAAGGCTAAACAAGAATCTCTCCACTGTCTTTATTTGAAAAAAAATGTGTTTTCCTCTTAATATGAAACCCCAGGTTAAGGTTTTTAATTATATTTTATGGTCTAAAGTCTAAACTGCAAGAAAGAAAATAAACCATTGTCTACACTTGTAGTGAATTGAACCTACTTTTTTTGTGTGGGTGTCTTGCGGTCAATCAGACCTGGTAAATTATATGGAAATCTTTAACAATTATGGCCAAATATTGTGCTTTTGCATATGACCCTCCAAATTTGCTGTCTTTGAGACTGCAGGAAATTGGACGTTTGCAAAGAGTTCATGGTCCAAGTGCAATCAGTGCGAAAGATGAGATGGCTAGACTTTCAAGCCATCTGGGTTCATTGCCTCTTTTCGCTAAGCACAGAATAAATTGCATTCGAACTGCCATAAAACGAAATATGGAGGTGCAAAATTATGCATACTCCAAGCAAGTGCTAGAACTACTGTTGTCTAAAGCACCTCCAAGCAAGCAGGAGGAATTTAAGAGCCTGATCGACTTGTGTGTTCAGAGGGGTGGGGTTTGACTAACAAGTCCATTGATCCATTGGAAGATCCTTCACAATTCTGTGGCGCCACATCAAGCAGGCTGTCAACCATTACGATGTCTGTGATCTATGTGGAGCCAAATTTTCAGGTGTGACTGCACCTGGATGCGTCATCTGTGGAATGGGAAGCATCAAAAGGTCAGATGCAGTCACAGGGCCAGTTCACCATTTGGTTGACTAATCAAATGCACTCGCTTGTAGCGTGTGTTCCCTTGCCAAGATGTTGTATAGAGAAATGCTACTTCAGTGTAGGAGGGATATTCCACCGGAAATAAGTTTCCCGCCGAATCTGGAAAAATCATAGTTTCTACATTTTGTGTAGAGTTTTGGGTTTTGTTGTGATTATATGTGATGCCCTTGGCTTTCTTTTTCTTTTTTAATTTCCTTTCAGGTGACGCTGTCTCTGCAATTACTTATCACAGAATGTTTCCCACTAATTTTGTGACATATATTTACCCTTTGTGAAGATAAAACAAAATTGTATATAGCATGATTCTATATTTCTATTATTAAGTTATGGATTCATTTGGCGTCATAATATATCATCTCTTGGTGTAGAATCAATCTGGCTTGTCAATGAAGGTTAACTGAACAATAAGATAGGAAAAAAAATGAAGATAAAATCAACAAATGTTATTACGCCCCGCACTTAAAATTTTGGTGAGTCCAACATGTAAAAAAAAAAAATATTGCCTTTAACTATTTGAAACAACATTACACAAATTTATTTTACAAATTCTAATATAAAATGATATGTCAAGCATTTGTATTTTTCTGAGACACTTCACGACATATTGTTTATTAAATTACACCCTTAGATAAATATATAGTTCTAGTTCGTCATTAAAAAAATATCTAAAAATTTAGCAATCCCTATCTGTATTGAGACAATTATGAACCATCAATGTTGATTCAGGGAACAAACGAGTTTGCTTCATAAGAAATCGCCATTTTATGCATATTCCCTTTAAAACCATTGTTAAGGACCTGATACCAATGTCCAAAAAGGCCAAAACTACTAAATGAATGCATTACGTGCTTTTGACTGTGTACTTTCTGTGTGAACTTTCCAACATACAACAACAAAACCTTAACTCACTGGGTGAGATCGGCTACATGAATCATGTCAAGAATCCACCACATCAAAGATCAGAAATCTGTACAGGCTGAAGTGTTAGGTGATGAACAGTGCCTCTCACCAAGTATATTGATGTAAAAGCAACCTAAAACTGAAGTCATACGGCATCAATTGCACCAGCTGTGAAAGGGGCTGCTTTCCCCTTCTTTCAAGGCATTCAACTGCTTCCTTTCTCAGATCAAAGGGAAGTTGGAGGCAGACCCAATCCAATAAAGATTCTAAGTCCTTAGCAAAGTCAAGTAAATACCAGTCCAGTAACTTTGGGATTATTAACTTGTTTGATTTTGTAATGCCAATTGCTGCCTGTAAGTAATCTCTCTTCGCTGCTTCTAACTCATTATCAACTTGTGATGCTGTGTACACCCTTACCTTCATAAAATAAAATTACATTTGTTCCATCAATTTAACCAACCAAGGAAACACATACTGTTGTGACTTTATCCACATCATGAAAGAAATTTAGCATGCAGCACTTAATAATACTAACATTGGTATTGATCCTAACAATGAGAAATGGAAAAGTGGCAAGATTTTTACTCTCTTTAATTTTGTATTATAATGATCTCATGAATCTCCTAGCTTAGCCATGCATGCCTTCTTAGTTCCTATCACGGATATTTCAATTTGTCATAATCAAATAAACATATAATACTCGGTAACTTTAAACCATACTAGAATTTTAAAAAAAAAAATCCAAATTAAGCAAAATTGTGTATAGAATGCACGACATCTTTGGTTTGGTCATGTGTTGTAAGACTATTTGATCATGTCATCGCTTAATCCAGACTATCTTATTCTGATCACGTCTTTACCAATTTATTGCTGGTCCTCAAAGGCACAAGGCAGTTTTTCGAAAAATACTCTCTTGATATTTTCCTACATGTAATCTTGTGTTTTTCTGACAGATCACATACAAGTTAAGTTAAAAAGGCAATTATTCAGTGTTAACATAACAATATTGTCTAAACTGAGAAACAAACATACCGCAGGTGAAGACCAGCTTCCACAGGAAAGTGCAAATGTAACCAAAGGCTCTGACCATTCCAACCCAAATATACTTCGTGCTTTTATCTCATCATTTTTTGTAGCTTTTGGGCAGGTCTGTCGCAGGAAGCAAAGATGAAAATCAAGGGATGAATTGTAATCTACAAAGCATGACAAGGACTTCAAAAATTAGGGCAAAAAAATGGTCTAAAAGCACAAGCAAAACGTATATTATACACTTACAAACTTCAGGTGGTAAGGAAGTCTCAAGATGAAGTGCTCTATTGTAATTGCATTGAGCAGCTGGCCCCCCACTTCTATTGTTGCCTGACACAAGCATCGCCAAGTTTTTGTCAACTTTAATGTTTATCTAGAGAATCGTCTTGACAAGAAACTAAATACTTAATGTGGTTGTGGCATATATATATATATATATATATATATATATAAAAGATGGGAGAAATTTTATTTCATTTTTCTGTTTTATTAGTATTTACTTAATTTCTAGCAGCAAAAAACAATCATTGGATATTTAGATAGAAGAGAGAACTGAGAAATTCACTCATGTCAACATCGGATGGCAGCAAGGATCAATTGAGAAGGACCAGCAATGTTTCTGCTGCTTTGACATACTTGTTCTTAAAAGACAAATGGAGAGAATAATAGAGAGATTATTGTACCTTTTGCATTAGTGCTACAACCATTTCAGGACTCTCAGGTATGCCATGCTCTAAATATGCCTGCAACATTCAAGCCAAATAATTGTGGTTACCCACAACATTTTAGGAAAAGCTAAGATGATGTCAATATTCAAATCTGGACCTTAAACAAAGAACCAACTCTTTTAGTCTTACATTGTAGTGAGAAGTAGCAATCAGTGAGTGAAAGTTATCTTACATTCAGCATGCAGGAATTATAAGTGTTTATCCAAAATGCAAGTTTCTCCTGTTGTGTAAGATCCTTCATTTTCACAGAGGAAAGTTTCCCAAGCAGGAACCTGAATATGTCTGCTAGGTTAGATAGACGCCCACAGTGTCAATATCAACCAACAGCTAATAATCTGCTATAACTTACTTTAATCTATGGATCAGAAACACTGCATTTCTTGTTCGGTTGAGATCAACATTGGAGGCTTTAATCTCACATAATCTATTATATGTACCAATATCCCTCATTTTGGATTCTGAAAAGATGTCATATGGATCACAAAACTGATCCTTTTCCTTGCTGCATGGGCTGAGAGTAGATACAGAACTGGAAGGCGATTTTAACTCCCCTAATTTGTCCTTGTGTGTTCCTATTCTCACAAATATGCTACACAAGCACTTGACAATTTCCTCTGAAATTTTATTAGGTGTGCTATCAACTTCTGATGCCTTATCATCTGATGAACCTGAGGAACTCTGTGCTCTTTCTTGATCTACTAATCTCCCCTCCATCTGAACAAGAAAAACAAATCATTGCTGAAATGCCAGCTCAACAATTTCACAGATTAAATGGTAATCATTGAAAACAGTTAAATACCTGTAACTTCAAGTGATCTATACACTTGTCAGCTGATTCTTGTCTTATTGGTGATTTCTTCACTGGAGTAGTGGCTTTGGCCGTTTTCTTTTCTTGAGATTGCTTATCCTTCACAGAGTTACACAACATTGGATTCTCTTTTCCCCGTCCCTCTTCTGGGATTGATGATAACGAGTCTTGTTTTATGTGCATTTTTTTATAGTTGACTAGCTTACCAGTGTGATCAGTGACAATGTCAGAGGAAAAAAGCTTTCTAATGGAAGCACTTCTGGCAAGAGAAACCTGAGGCTTAGCCATGATAGCTAAATCAAACTCACTTTGCGACAATGACTTTGATCTTTGATGTTTGGAGCTTCTGACGGAGTTCTGGTCCATTGGGTCGCTCAAATTTTCTGCATTCCTCTTAGAGGAAATGTAGACAGCTTCCTGATATAGACCTTGTCTGAAATTCACAACCTGCTCTTCTAATCTAACCACCTCCTCCTCCAATACTGCAACTTCAGCCACAAGCTCTAAAGTCTAAAAGATCCATGTATTAAAAATGTAAACGAATCAATAAAAAATAATTTCATTATAATTGAAATACAATTGACAATTGACAATTGACTTCAAACTCTGTAAAAAAACATCCTGCATTGCTCAGTTTTGCGTTCAAATCTAGGCAAAGAAGGGAAAGATGAAGAGAGATACTGACTTGTGGAGGGAGATACGGAGGAAGACGAGGAAGAGCTCCCAAAGGTCTTGTAAATGCTCTTTCTAAAGCTCTGTGAACATTCTCTTCATGTCTGAGCTTCCTCTTCAACTTATCAACCTGCAAAATTTGAACACTTAACTACACTGACAAAGGGTTCATAGAATAAACATAAGACAAGAAAGGAACATGAATATCATTCACACACATCTTGTATCAAAGCCATTTTCCTTTCTCTATTGGATCGACGCCCATTTTTCACTGTTTTCTGTGCAGACATTGCCTTGCTCCCTCGAGTTTCCATCTTCTCCTGCTTTGCACATTCATTAACGAACAAATCTGTGAAAGAATCTTTGATTTCTGTGCGCTGGACTGGAAAAAGAAAAAGCAGAAGGACAAGACCACTTGTTTCTCATGAGAAGTGAAAGAACGAACCTAGTTTTTAGATTTGGATAAAAAGCACAATCACACATATTTTTTTTTCTCAATATAGAAAGAGATTGCATGATCCATAGGAATAAATAGATTCCAAAAAACAAAATGCATGCTTACAGTTAAAGTAGTTCTTAGTTTATGCTCCGAAATCTGAAAGGAACTTCTTTTGTTTTTCAAGTATTTAGAAGAACCGGTTTAAGATTAAATCATAAATTTTAGAAGCTTTTATGCTCCACATAGCCTCATTTTCATTAGAAGCATGAGAATTTGTTTCTGAAGATCTTGCAAGTTACAACCAAACAGAAGGAGAATGAAAAAAAAAAAATCAACTAAGCTTCTGTTTTAAGAAAGAAAAATATACTCTGCCATCACTTGAAGGGGTTTTCAATTTCATTGGCTGAAGAGTGGTATGTGCTTTGGTATTCATCTGCTTCAGCTATGCTACCACTTTCCCAGATTACGAGAAAGAAAACAATGCAATCTAGAACTGCAAAAAGGTGAAACATGTAAAAGTTTTATGACATTGATAAAGTAAATCTGCGAAACGGGTAAGCAATAATATCAAACACAGACTTTGGCGACAGAGTCACAGAGAAAGAAACTTCATATGGAGCGGGAAACTTGAAAGCAGAGAAAGCACAGAAACACAAATGCCAGCTTCTGTGTTAAAAAAATGTGAAGGATTTTGTTTTGCATGACATTAAAAAAATCTTGAAAGAGTGAAAACAAAGCAAGACAAGCCCACCGCAGCAGAAGAAGGACCAATGTAAATGTTCCAGTTGTTTCAAGTACCTATATGGCATCATAACAACGATAAAACCAAATCTAAATAAACTCGTTAATGATATTTTCTGCCACTATGCAACATTCATATTGCAAAACAAATAAATGTGGTTGACAGACATGGAGAGAGAATCTTAAGTGGATTGTGACATGCAACTACATAAATTTATTTTTAGAATTTTTGTTTTAGATATGAGATTCGTGCAAAATTTATGTTTTAATGCAATGTGTACTGACTAAATTACCTTTTAATATTATTGTTCACATCTCTCTCTTCCACTATATATATGATTAAAGTAAAGTTTATAAAAATTTAGAGCATTCTTATTTATGAATTAATTTCTGGGTTGAGTTAAGTTGCCCTGAATTTAAGAATTATATTATTTTGTCTAGACTTCTTATTCATCTTCAATATCTCTGTGTTTTTATTTGCTCCATTATTCAGCATGCTTTGAAAATGGACATGGACTTTTGATGCTTTCCTAAACATACACAACAGTGGAGAGGGATGTAATTGTCTCTGAGGGAACCCTCAGCAAAAAAAGAATAAGAAGATTGTTTCAGTGCACTTTGTTGTTGGCCTTGAGTGTGAAAGTGAGACTCTTTTTTTATGTTTTATCTAAATTGCGTGTCCACGTTTTATTCTCTCTCTGTCTTCTTCCCCTTATAATGCCAAATTCAACATCTAGTAACTTATTTGATTCCATGCTTCTACAGCTTATTGAATTGAAATTTTATCATTTTGAAAAAAAATTCTTTAGTTAAATTTAACATTAAATTTCGCTTTTACTATAAAAAAAAAAAGTTGCAGTTAATGAGATAATGTTTAATATACCTAGGGAGTAGTAAGTGAAATCTAAGGAATCGACTGAGTTAGAATGGCGATGTTACTCGCAAAAGTAAAGACATCATTGCGGATTGGATGGAAACAAAAGATTAAGAAGCAAGCAACGTGGTCAGTAATCTGCTGAGAGCCTCATATGCTACAATATTTTTTTATCTTTTTATTAATTATAAGATTTTCAACTAATATTAATTACATCAGATTTGCCTCAAATTTGTGTTTCGACACTGCCTTCCGCAAATATTGTGTCTGCTGACCAGGGGCTTGTACTGTTGCCACTTTGTTTTAGTATTAAAATTTTAATTTTCTTATTTTGTTAATTAAACATTTTTAAAAATTATAATTTAATTTAAACACATATTTTAATTATATTCAATAATTTAAAAAGAATTGTATTAATATCAGTTAGAAAATATAATTAGAAAGGAGAGAAGAGACTGTCAAACATTGACATGAGTTGTTTTAATTTAACTTGTAGCAAAAATACCTGAAAGTACAGAGGAAGCTGTTATCCCTTTTCTTCTTCCATCAAATAAAGATTTCCCTCACTGTGCTCACCAAATCTTGAACCCAAATTATCTTTACACTGATCATTATTAGTTAACATGTAACGTTATCTATCACAAGTTCATATCGATAAGATCATTGAGGAAATATGCGAAAACGTGTCTTAAAAAAATAAAGAAATATATTTAGTGGTAAATGGCCCTGTTATACTATATATCCTTCATGTCTAAGCTCAACTAAAAAAGACATTTCATGTGAAAATTATATACTTCACGGCAGAACTAGAATATGTTTTCAATTGACATATAATAATGATGACCAAATCAGGAAATGCAAAAGCTTTTAGTATAAAATAGATATTTAGCTGTGAACTAAAAATTAGAGTAAGATTCTCTCCTGTTATTTTTTGTAATAGTATGAAAGAGGAATATAAAACAATTATAGAATGACCTAAATCATTATTTATGAAGCATTTATGGATAGATCAAATCGATAAATGAAAAAAATTATACAAGTCCACCACATTGAATGCGAAGGTTGCTTTAAGGTGGGGATTAGAGAGACATTCCCAATACATTAGAAACATATTCATGAAAATATATAACACTATAATATAAGAGGTTCAAAGTTCAAACGCCATTCTCACCCTCATTTGAAGGAAGATGCTTTAAATAATAGAACAGTGAAAAGGAATCCACCCAACTACACAAGACCCAATCTCATATCTCTTGAGTCTCATAATGATACTTACCCATACACACATGTAAATGTGTGCTCTACCTACTCATCGTAGAATATCATTAGTGTTACCCATTTTGTCTGGTGAAGGAGAATTTAACCTTAGCTACTTCATCGACTGTTAATATCCATGATGGATCATATTCTCAATAATCACAAAGGAAGAAGATTTTATTCTCAGTTAGTATTATTTTTAAATAATAACAAGACATCTTAGATTCTAATTTATCCAGAAGATGAAAGAAAAATGAGAGCGTGAAAGGTTGCCATCAAAGCTTGTAAAGTTAGAAGTTAATCATACAGTTCCGTTGTCCCAAAAATTACAAGTATGTGGGGATTATTAGCATTGGCACATTTGTACCATGGGAAACATCCATCCCATCGTTTTATTTATTATATGACATGTGAAAATGAAACTTGTAACCCTACGTCACAACACTAAGCATTAAGTGTGTGCTTGGTTTTCCTTAAAAATATTTTGAATTTTTTATATAAAAAATATTAACTTTTAATTAAAATCATAATTTTTGAGTTTCAAATGAAATCAAGCTAAGTTATTAGATCATGTGTGTGTATACCTTACCCTTTTGTCAAACTCCCTCTACTGCTCTAATCCACTTTAGTTCCTCTTCCCTTTTCCAGAACTCTGGAAGCATTTCATTTTTTAAAGCTGGCACTGTTGTTATGATATGTATGGGCAATGTAAATATTTAACGGGAAAAAAAAGGATATCCATTCATTCAACTCAATCAACTCACGACCAAATATGTGGTGTTTATATATGTATATATATATATATATATATATATATATATATATATATGTAAGTTTCAATTCGGTATGCTAATAAGCATTATCGGCTCAACTATAAACAAGACATTTGTGCAGGTGTGAATAGAGAATTATAGTACCTATTCTTAAACTTAGATTTTAAAAATAGAAAATGCTAAGCTGATTAATAAATAAAAATTAAAAAAACACTTACTTTTATGTATTTTAATTCATTTTAACATGATTTTTAAGAAAAAAATATTATTTATTATTTACTAATTTATTAGGGCACTGGTTAATAATATTCTTTAAAAATACTCATCCTTATACTTTATTCATGTGAATAGTAAATTTAATGTTAATTCCCGTATCATAAAAATACTTTAGTATTTATATATAAATTTATTATTCATATTTTAATTAAATAAAAGTACTATTTCATTACCCAATTATAAAGATAAAAGGGCCTCACAACAACGATGCAACACACCTATAAAGACAATGTTGGATGGCAATAAAAAGGAGTTAGAGTATTCAATTTTAAAACATAAAAATTAAACCATTAAGATCCAATTTATGAGTTGATTGTAAAATTGTAAGACTATCGGTGTAATATTGGTTTGAGTAATCCATGTATTTATAAATTCCTGATGTTTTTGAACTATAGAAAAGTTAATTAAGTTAGTCTTCAAATTATCAAAAAGTACGATCATATTAGTTCTTTCACAAGGACTAATATGGTCAAATTTTAATATTTTTAGAACCTTTAAAAGGTGTTTAAGGTATATGGACTAATCAAATTAGAAGATTAAAATATTACTTAATTTATTGATTTTTTTATTTTAAATTTAATGCTTCAAATAACGTGTGGACATAAAACGAATTAATGGGTAATAAATTATTCATGTTCACATTCATTCTCATAAATGTCATGAATAAATATTCATACCCAACATAAAAATATTTAATAGATAATTCCCTTCACCCTTTTTATCATACGTAATTTTTACAAGCAGTGGAGGTCCAAATTGCGCCATTCTTAGAGAGGCACAACTCAATGAATGAGGTTGCCAATGAGTTTGGGGACCAGGAGTTCATGAACGAGCCACCATTAATTGAGAATGACGTAGCTAAAATAAATGTGGATCAAATCAATGTATCAGAAGAAAACCTTTGCTTCATTCAATTTGCAAAGTGAATTGCGACGTGCTATGAATCATGATAAAGATTATCGTAAAGCAAAGCCACAGACCCAATTGATTTTGATACAGAGGGCATCATTTTCGTGCGTTGTTTTGAAAGGATAAAGAAAAGGACTTCAGAGAGCTAGGTTGTTGTTAGCATCCAGTAAGATAAACTGAGAGTAAAAAACACAGTGTAAGAAAAAAAAAAATATAAATATTAAGAACGTTGATTAAAAAAATTAAAAATGAAATTTATTTATTACAAAATATTATAATGTAATTCTTATGTGATTTAAGAGTAAATTACGTCTTAATTTGTTAATACCTTTTACCATAGGGAAAGTAGCTTGACAAGGACCGGTAAGCTTTATGTTTCACCAATTAACTCAAACCTTACCGTGTTCTATGGTACACTTTTAATCAGCTTTCTTGTAATTTATGCTTTTATTATGATCAATATACATGCATTCGTCATAGATAAAACTCATCATGCAAATAAGATTTACAAAATCACACGTGTTTAGCTTATCTCCTTTTCACAAATACATTTACAGCTAAAGGTTCTCTTTAATTTGATTATGAAAATTTTTAACACTAATTTGAAATCAAAATTCGTATTTGTAGGTATGGACCAGATGGTCCCATCCAGTGTGTGATTGGTGGCTGTGCATAGTGTACCACCACAATCGACCAAAAACAAAATGGCCCACCAAAAGTTTCTGGGCTCATTCGCTAACGCAATAACCAATGGGCAGCGATGGCATTAGTTGATCCAAAGCATAAAGTGGAACGACAACAGGTTAATTTGTTGTAATTCGTGAAAAGGGAAAAGACACAAGAATTGCACATGGAATGAAAAAAAAAATTAAAAAGGAAAGAAAGAAAAAAGGTTCAATCTTCCAATAACCATGCTCCACTCATTTCTTTGATTTTCCTTGTCAAAATATCTAAATCCTTTTATTCTCAACTCTATTATAGAGATATATGGTTTAATTTAGAATAACTAATTAAGCAGTTATATTATATAATGTGGCTTCAATAAATGGGAAATGGAAATATCCCATTTCATTTCAACGTTGAAAGCTTGCCCCCGACCCTGAGACTGATTATGGATCAAAATGTTTGTTTAATGATTTGTAAATGGTTTTGCATTGAGGTAGATCTTCGCCGACAACAATTGTTATCTTAATTTTTGCACGTGATCCAACGACCAAGCTAAAATTACAAGGACAACATGTTAATGTACGTGCCCTGCTCTGTTCAACAATTGGAACACAATAATGAGACTCAAAGCCTAAAAACCATTCTTGCTGTCACACAAAGAAACCAGCTTTGGTGGGACATTGGCACGGCCATTAACTTTTTCTAAAGTTCGCTTTTTACTTTTGTGGATATTGAACTTGGTCTAAACTCAACCTACATTTATATGTAAAGTTATTAAGCTGTATATAAATTGAAAAGAATTAATATAATAATAATATATTTAAAGAGATGTTTTATTCGTACAGTGTTTATGTAATGTTAGATCTTCAATGCCTCTCGGGGAAAAAAAAAGGGGTCACGTGAAGTCGAGTAATATACCTATAGAGTTTCTGGGTATAAGTGCACCAAAATATAAAAGAAATTATTTGTACGTATACGATAGTAAAGCCAAGAATTGAGTTGGAAACTACTCAATACCGAGTGTTTGTACTAGACAGCGACAGCACCTGTTGTAATCTTTGTATGTTATGAAAAATGGTCCCAAAATAAAAGTTGGACCACCTCTTGCTAGGTGATCCAATTACTACCCAAACCAATTGAATGAAGTTATAGACTGAGTGCTACCTCTTACTTGTCTGTCTAGACAACCAATGATGCCTTAACGGTAGTAAACTAAAATACGGATATATACAAGTATTCATATTTTCCTATTTGAAAATAAAGGCTGTATATCCTGTCTCGTTATGTATGTATATATGCAAAAAAGTACATGATTGCAAACTTTGGATTTAGCCGTTTGGCAGGTGGTATGGTCAACGTCTCACTCGTGCAATATGGCCACGCGTGCCAATTTAGTCACTCAATTTGTGAAAGTAGATGGTCCAAATTTACTAAAATTTGATCATGTGGGATTAATTTTTTGGTTGTGGCTTCCGTCATTGCCACTTTTTTGTTTCCATCCCGCTGCTTGGTGCATGCTTTAAGAGACTCCTCAAAGCCATTCATGTTTAATTTAATCAAGTTATCTTCATATATTTCCAACTAATAATGTCTTCTTTTTCAAACCTTTTCTTTGCTCAACAAACCTATTTAACTTTTTACTTTTGTTTTTGGAGGGGAGGGGGTTCCAATTAATTCTCAAATACCGTAAACTTCATTTATCATTGGGGTCACCCCTGTGCTTCAAAGGGGTCATGTGACAAGGACACATGTACATCTTCAACGTGGACCGGAGGCCATTAAGTCAAGTCCAACCATACCAAGCCCATGGTTTTCGTTATTTGGTTTTTCCCTTGCCAGCCATACTTGTAGCATTCTTCATGCACTAATTTCGTTAAAATGGTTACAAAGTTAAAATTCTTTTTACACTACTAGATAATAGTGAGTGTGCATGCGTGCAGCTGAGAGCTTTATCCAGACCTTTATTTTTCTTATTAACATAGGTCCGGCGTGGAAGTAAGAAAATGGGGAAATGACTAAGTTATTCAACTTACTAGGCTTCTTGAGAATTTGTCATAAGGGTTTGTGGACCTCTTACAAAAAAACTGTCGAAATTATTTTCGGCGGGACTGGACTTCATGGATGTAACATTTTTTGGAACTAACAAGTGAAGTCCAGAAAAATGATCACCCCAAATATCATATGTATACTCATTTGCAAGTCCTGCCTCTTGTGCTTGAACAGTTTGGTTGTGAAGTTTGGAACCAGGAGCTCGAGCATGCAAGTTAACATTAGATTTTGACACCAAGGGTGATGGAGAAGTGCTGGCAGGAAAGGGTGAAGTAGCACAAGGTATCTGAACAGGTAAACTAGTAGCACTTCTTGATGCTGAATGTGGCCTTGTAGAAGATTTATTACTACCGCACTTTTGTGTGATAGCAGGCTTCAATATGTTTGCCTCAGCAGTATTGGCAGAAGCTTGACCATTGTCAGAATGTAGGGCAGTCCCATGTGTTGTTGAACGAAGGGCCTCAAGGGGTTGCTCCACGTCAGGAGATGATGGCCAGTTACATTTAGGAGTAGCAGTCACGGTCGGGGACAAGGGAGATGAGGGTGTAGAATTCCCACTTTGACTACTTGAAACTTCAGACAGTGCAGCTAATTTGGCACCAAGACTCTTCCTCTTTTTTCTTCTACCCTTTTCTTTACTAGTTTTGACAGTGAGATTACTTAACTGAGACACTTTTATTGGATCAGAGCTCAGAACTGCTGTGGATGACAATTCTCTGTCATTTTGGGTATCCACTGCATGACTAGTTTGTTGGTGATTTTCAGAAGTCTGCATCGAATGCTGAGATACTCCCAGTTCAGACAGATTGCCTTGACCATAGGAAGAACTGCCACTAGAGGCATCCATTAGATGACTCATCTTATTAGACACAGATAGCTCAGTCTTTCCCTGGTTATGGTGTAGGAAAGAGGTTTCCCCAGCACTTTTTATGGTGGCATGGACCAAGTTATCATCACTTTTGTAAGAGAAATCCAGGAAGCCCAATGCAGTAGTTTGAGAAAATATAAAACAAAATATCAGAAATAGTACAGAAGCAACAAGAAGGAATCCAAGAAGGGATTTCTTCAGTCGCATCCAATACATGAGTCTCTTGCAGTTACTTAGCATATCATAAGGGAAACTTGCTTTCACGGGTAAGAGGAAAATACCAGTAGCCAAGTTAAGTTCAAGATCTCGATGCACCACAGCTGCAGAAAAATCAGATTGATATGATATCGTAAGTTTACTTGATTCCCCAGGCTCAAGAGAAAAACCCCTACATGAAAGAATCTTAAAACCATCCAACCCACATTCTTTCCCAGAAACTCTGATACTTTTAACCTCCAATGGCAAGTCTCCTGTGTTCTTGGCATATAACTCTTTCACTAAATGTTGTGAACAGGCAGAAGTCATCTCTTTCATGTGAAACAATGTATATGGAAGAGAAAGGTTGAGTGGATTGGGCATTTTAAGATCAAAATCTATACTGTGAACATGCTCTGAACTCTCAAGCAAAACTAGAGAAAGCAATCCTCCATGTCCCCTTAACGGTATCCACTCAACACCTGAAAGATTGTTTCTTATCAATGCTGAACCAGTCCAGCCACATCGACTGGATGGATAAAAGATTATTGGCCCCAAAGTTACACGATCATAAGGATGCACATAAGCCTCTGTCAGTGCACTTTCTGGTACTGAGAATCCATACTTTGTTGGGGTAGCACCTACATCTAGAACCAAATTACAAGATGGAGAGTGTAATAAATCATCTAGACCCCTACACTCATCAATTATTTCTCCTGAATTCAAGATAAGTTGCATTATAACTGGATGCTGGCTAGGATTCTTTACAGTGATCCATCTAGAGACATAACTTCCAACCTGAATCATCGGAAATAACACCTCACGATCTTCAAGCACAGACAGGCCACCAGTGGTTCCTTGAGACTTCCAGTTTGTAAGAATCAGTTCATCTACATCTGTTGTCTCTAAAACCTTCATATAAAGAGAGTGCAATGAGTAAATTGGAAACTGAGAAAATGTATAAATAATTGAAAGAATATTAAGTAAATTTATTTCCAATATTATGTTGAGTGAGTTCAGGTGCTGCATATAATGACCACAAATACACATATACAGCATTTTAGTGGAAAGAAAAATGGCAGTAAAAGAAGCAATCAAGTGGGAAAAAGGTAAAGGATTGGTTAGACAGAATTCAGACAATAGTAAAGAAGGCACTAATTGAAGCAAATCCCCGTATGATTCACAAGACAATTGCTGCACATTATGCTAGTTGATAAAACTCCATTTTTCCAAATTTAAGCCATCAATGAGAGATTTATCCTGCTTTTTATTCGTATCAAAGACAGAGCAATACAGATAAACAGAGACAAGCTTGTTTATTTTATACACTGCTTTGTCATGCCTGAAAAATATTTCATTATATTGAAGCTGTTTAACACCTTCATCCTAGAGCATCCTAGCCATTTATTGTCTCAAACCCATCAAACTCTCAGTTTTCCAGAATTGGATCAACAGATTTTAAAGAGAGAAAAAGGGAGAGAACAGATGTATATTGTTAATGCAGACAAATGATTTTCATTAAAATGCTGTAACTGACAATAATTGTCCAGTTCAGTATTTCATGCAATAATATCCGAGAGGAACAGCTATAAATTTATTATTAGAACATACTTCCAAGGCACTTACTAAATACGTAGCAAGAGTCAGTCGAAATGCCCCATTCTTAAAAATGAATAAATAATAAAAGCCATATGCATAAGACTCAGTGGTCTAAATTTTGAATTATAAAATTGATAACAGTTTATCAACTTTTTTGTTTAAATAAGATATGGACAGCAAGAGCTATATCAACTTACCTTGACAGGAGGTCGCAAGTGTATGCTTCCACCCATATTCCCCACCCTTATATTGTCTGATTGGATATGTTCAGAGTTGCCTTCTACTTCAATGGATGTAAGCCTTTGATGTTCAAAACATATATATAATATGTCCTCACATGGAATCTCGATCAGGGGACTGACTGAGTCATTTGTAAGAATCAGCAGTTTGCACTTCTCTCGCAAGCTGGAGATTGTAGGTGCCAAGTCATGCAAATCCTTGAGCAGGTGATTACAGTAAATAATGCCAACTTGTGTAACAGCACCAGGGAAAAGAAGTAAGCCTTCTTTGTACTTAATATGGAAAAGCTGTGTGTCAGAAGCTTCTATGACTTTAAGAAAACTTAAAACATAAGGGCCATCATTTCTTAGAGAAATAGTGATAGCAATTTCACCACTATCACAGGTGGCTAGACCATCCAGAGTTGCTGAAACAAACGTACCAACAGTATCATGGGCAGAATGAATATCTACTTCAGCTTCAATAGGAACCATAATAGTATCAGATGCATCTTGTGAGGACCTAAGTAAATGCAAACAAAATGCCCCAAAAACTTTTCCCTCAAATCCAACTGTGATATCCATCTCCATGAGAGTTTCAGAGATATGTGGACCAATAACCCAATTCCTATGAGGCCTGATTGCTACTATTGGTGAACCAAATTGGTTACTCTTCACAACCAATCGATCCTTAATAGTTGGGAAGGGACGAGCATCAAAAACCTGAAAATCATTTACACTACAAATTGCTTCAGTTTCAACAGAACTATGCCCCAAAGAAACTGACACCCATGCAGTTATTTGCTCCACAAAAAGGGTTTCATCAAAGGGATTGAACAATGAAAAATTCTTGCTCAACCTTCCACCGGGAGAAATTTGCATACTTGATAAGGGCTGAATTCTAAAAGGAGACTCAGTAGCATATCCTTTAGCCTCTACTATGAATCCACCAGAACTTGTCTGCAAAATCAGGCTAGCTGATGACAAGCCCATACATTTAGGGAAGAAAACAAAACAAATTAAAGCTGATTCACCAGGTCTTAGCGAAACCTCACTGAAGTTACAAGGATAGAACTGTAAGTCAGTGCTGAATGGCTCATAGAGGTGTAATATGCTATCATTGCATGTATTTGTTACAGTTACAAAAGCTACTGAAGAAGAATACAAATATTTTTGTCCCCAGTCCAGTACAGTAGGGGCAATCCTTATATTGGGTGAGACAGAACCATCAAATGAATTTGATTTGGGCATCTCAGAGTTCTTTGACAAAGAATGTGCGGTCTTCTGCTTAAGTGAAGAGCCTCCACAAGAGGAAATATCATCTTTACAACCAACCTCGGTTTGAAGTGGTGGTATCTCATTCACTCCATCTCCGGTGTTCAAAGAACAAGAGACAGCCCCTCCATTAAGTAACATAAACACACCATAGTCAGATGACCAGCTTCTGTTACTTGTTTGCCTGTTATCTTGAGCTAACTCTACACAAAATGGACTGTTGTACTGACTGCTAGATTCTCCAAGAGAAGTTTCATCCATAATTTTCTCTTTGCGAGAAAATCCAGACAACATTGATGGAAAGCAGAACGAATGACCATTCGGACATACATTTTCAAAATGTTTATGTGCAGTTGGAAACCCATAGCCTAACCTTGCGTCACTAACAGTGATGTCTGAAGAACCCAAATTGTAATTTTTCCCAAAAGATGCACAACCATCATAATCTGGTGGATTTCGTATCCCATTCAAAGAGCACAGTCCATATCCAATGAGCCAAACTAATACAGATGACAGAACCACATAACAAGTGAATGGTTTGTCCAGGTGCACCATTCCCCTAGTTGAACCAAAAACACTGATTAGAACTTTTTTAAAGCATTCTAAAAATAAATAAGTAAACCAAATAACTAAAACTATTCTAATTGTTGCTTCATGTGTTATATGCTAGATTGATATCAAGCACCATGTAATATAATTCCCGAATAAATAGGTAAAAAAATAAACAGCGTGTATACAAAACATGAAGCAACAATTAGAATCAGCTCTGTAAGCTAGAAATATAAGGAAGAGGATCCTTATACGAACCGTTGCTCAAAAATTTTAAATATTTGTTACACCGTGTTAAAATCAATCATCTATATGACAAAAATAAATAAATAAACAGCAATATCATAAACACTCAACCACACCGTTTTAGCTACCCGAACTATTAAACCAGGTCATTAAAAAAGAAAAAACAGTCAAACACCACGCGCTAAACCCAAACAATCACAGTACTCCCACTCAAAACGGGAAAAAGGAAACATCTTTATTGAAGAAAAAGCAATAACTGACTCAACTGAAAACAGTCACAAGAAGCAAGGAGAAGAAACCCAAACAAAAGGAAAAGGGTGAAAAATGGTGAGTGGAAAAGGGCAGCGTACCGATGGCGGAAGACAGAGAGTGGGTTGATGATTAGGGTTTTGGGTTCCATGGAAGAGAGGAACCCATACGACTTTAGAGGGATGTTCTTAGTTCTCACTGTCTATACAAACCCAATGAGATGAGTGGCTCCAGACAACTAAGAAAATTGCAGACAAGGTGGTAAAAGAAACCCAATGAGATGTTCTTAGTTCTTACTGCACCTATTCAATCAATAAATATAGTTTAATAATACTCTTTTTTTTCGATGCCAAACTTTAGTTTAAATGAATTTACTCAATCGAGAAAATATATTAAGTTGATCTATTAAAAAATTCTTTTAAAATGAGTTTATTTGTATAATAAAAAACATATATTTACTTTTGAATTTTTATGAGTTAATACTATTATAATACTCGCTAAAATTTAGTTTAAATGAATTTACTCAATGGAGAAAATATATTAAGTTGATCTATTAAAAAATTCTTTTAAATTGAGTTCATTTGTATAATAAAAAATATATATTTATTTTTGAATTTTTATGAGTTAATATTATTATACATTTTGAATTAAATAATTATCAATAATAAATAATATTTTAGTTTTTTATTTTATATATAAGTTCGTTTTAATTAAGTTATATTCTTGTGTATTTTAATTTATCTTATATATATGTGGTACAGTGGTCGGCCAGAATATAAGAGTTAGGCAACATTCTTCTTCTAAAGTTTTCCTTCAAAATAAAATAGTGTTAATAATTTTAATTGTCCATTACAATGTGTATGGGTATTAGAAAAATAATAAGTTTTCTTGATTGAATAATCTTGTGCTGTGTGTTTATTTATAATCACTTCTTTCAATGTTATCGCGTTTCGCTTATTTAAACATAAAATTTGCGGTTTGTTAGAATAGAAAATTATTTCTCAAAATAAAATCAACATTCAAACATACATTATATCTTCTTTTTTAAAATAAATCCCATTCATAGCATAAGTTATTATTGAGCAAAATTTATTCATTGAGTACGAATTATAGTTTTATAAGATTTAATTTTAATTTAATCTAACAAATATTAAGATTTTAATATGTTAATCGAATCTTCATTTCTGAAAGGAAGTTTATTTTCCCTTTTTTCATTTAGTCATGTAATTAATTATTTTATTTAAGTCTTAAATTTTGAATCTATGCACACTGTATTGAAATAATAACTTTTAGTTAAGATATATTTAAAAGTTATTGTATTCTTATATATATATATATATATATATATTGAAATTAAATTTAAAATTTTAACAATATATATCAATACAAACAATATGTCTAACTTAAAAAAAGGATATTTTTAATTTATTTTTTGTTATTTATATTATTTATTTCATTTAAATATTATAAAATATTTATTACTCATGTTAACAAATATTTTCTATGGTCTCGTTTATAAAACTTACTTAATTTTATGAATACATGTATAATGTGTGGAAAATTTGTTAGTTGGTGGTATAACATTATCTTAAGAAGGTTGTGAATATTTTTTAAACATCAATGTGACAATAGTTTCAATATTGCGTTTGTGAAGCATGTAGAGGGCTCATATATGCCTTACTAAGGCTGATATTTTTCGAGATTCGAGATGAAAAGAAGATAAAACAAATATTTTTATAACAAAAACGATAGTTAGTATAATTATGACACTTTTGTATTTCTTTTACATATTTCATTATTTTTTAAAATTATTCTGTTCCATTGTTGTTGTTTTTTGTTTTTTTTTATTATATTTTTTGAAATAAAAAAAAGAAAAATGAAAAGCTAGAACATATGTATTTACATTTTATTGAATAAATCATGAATAGCTGCAAAAGTAGTAAAACAATCACTTTCTAAATAAATAACATGAAATATGTAGAAAATATTGTATATATTTAATATATTTTTACTTTATATATATACACACACATATATATATATATATAATTGATTTATTTAATAGATGATGTGGAATATTATGTTTTATACAAAAAAATTATACATTTGTATGAAAAATTATATATTTTTCAAATAACTTAAGGTATTAAAAATTAATTCATAAATGTATTTGTTTATATTTTATGTTTTTACACATTAAAGTAATATATATGTATATAACAATGATTAATAAAATAAATTATATTTATAGTTGCCAAAAAGATAAAACATAATTATTTCTATTAATAGTATATTTTTATCTAAATTAGTAGTAGTCACTAAAAACAGTCTCTAAATGATGATTACTTTTATAGTGACTTATTTTTACAAATAAAATGATTAATAATATATTTATAAATTTATACTAATGTCCAGTTAAAAATTATCAATTTTTAAAAATTTTCTTATAATATTAATCTCGTTAAAAAAATAAAGATAAAACTTTTGTTCACTCTCTTTTATTTTAAAATTTATTTTAAATTAAATATTTATTCATAATATTTTTCATATTTACTTATTACTATTATTGTCAAACTAAAAAATTTGAACTCGTGAAATTGTTATTTACTATTGAAATATATAAAATAATTTTAATTTAGTTATTATTTTAATGCAACTTATAGGAATATATTTATATCAAGTATAAATACTCGGTAAATTTATATTAATGTATATGAATTTTTATTTATTTAAACATTATATTTTTTATTTTTGAAATAAAAAAGTAACCAATATATATATATATATATATATATTAATTAATTGAAAATATTTAGTATGTAACTGTATAAAGAATAGTTCAAGAAAAAAAAACTTAATTATTGTGAAAATATAAATCATTATTTTTATTTAAATAAACAAATTCAAACATAAGTGCACATGAGTTTTTAAGTATCTACGTAATCATTAACTATCTTTAATCTTAACTATTTATATATAATTATATAATTTAAAATTCTCATTATCATAAGATAAAAAATGTTATCACTAAATGAATTTTCAATATATGTATGTGAACGTGTGTGGAGGGCAAGGTTGACAGGGAAAAGTTGTTGCATGTAAACGTATTAACCTAGCAAACTTGGTTTCAATGTGGCGGTGGCAAAAGAAGAAAAGATTTGAAGGCATCACAGTATTTATGTACTTGTATTATGTGCCATTAATCAACAAACTAGGAATGTACTTTGCAAATGAAAGGAATCAAAGCCAAGCACGCAAAGGAGATTGTAATTTAATCAATTAATAATTATTTTACATACATCACACTCTCTTATTTTCTTCTGTATGCTATGTCACTAGCCACCATTAAAAACCTTCAACACCCCAATTTGAAAATATTGAGATTGTTGAATGAATATAATTGTCTGGTCTTCAGTCGCATACAGGCATTCAATGCGGTTTCAGTGTACTCTGTCACTGTCCGGTGTCCACGTGAATACGCACCACACCAAACCCCGTTTTTTCCTGTCGCATTTATAAAAGATAAAGATACCAGAGTTCGTACTAATTAAGAAAATAATAAAACTTCATCTGTTTTATACTAAAACAAATATTGGTGTTTAGGATTTTTGTTACAAAATCAAACAATAGTAAATATTTAATTATTGAAATTATTTTATCAAAACATCTTTATCATTCGTTTATCTGTATCATTCTTTTTATAGGTATTTAAAAAAATTGTATTATGAGATACTTTTAATGTTTATGAAGTATTTATTATTATTATTTAATCGATGACTTAATAGAAATTAATTTTAATAAATGTAAATATTGATAACAATGCCAGGTCAGTGTCAGGTTAATGATAGTAGATGATGATAAAATTATAATGTTAGGCTGCTTCTATTTTTATTTATATGTTTTTAATTTGTATGAAAATTAATGTAATATTAATTGTTATTTGATATAAAAAAAAATTGTCCAAATAAAATATTCAATTTTTATTGCCAAATACAGTAAGAAAATATATTAGCAAGATTTTATGCGAATTGCAATATTCAATGGTTAAAAATCATCCAATAACATTTAGGTTTTAACAAAATTTTGCTCTTTATTAAAAATTTATTATGTATTATTGAGTACACGTTAGAAAAATATAAAATATTACTTAAGTAATACAAGTGTTAAAAGAGGACTCACTAACAACAGTTAACTTGAGAAGCTTATTAATTATTTTTAACAAACTGATTTTATTATTTTATCTTTTCATTGTAAATATGTTTCCATCACCAACAGTGTCAAACAATATTGTTTTTTATCGATTAACTTTTAATTTTTTAATATAACATTGGAGTCTATTTGATTTTAATGTTAAGTCATTTGTTGATATTCAACAATGCAAACTTCACCTATCAAATATTTAATTATTGTCATAAAAGATATATTAAAATATTTATATTAATTAAAAAACATAGCTAAAATATTATTTTATAAAGTTTAACCAAATATTTTTCTTATGAAATAGCTTTTATAAATGACACAGATCCATTTATTGGTCGAGCAAGTTTAATTCATGATCATTTTAATTTAAAATATCAAGATTTGACATTTTATTTTCGAGAAAAATTGTTAAAGATATATATTTTTTTCAAAATGAATTTAAACTCGTATCGTCTTAACGATATATTCACTCATTCAGTGATATTTAATATATATTAGAAGAACAACTTTAACGTAATTTCTTAAGCAATTAAAAAAATGATTGACCCGTGTTGGAAATATTGTTTTCATAAGCACAATCTCTTAAATATTAGAAGTAAGAAAAGAGTAACAAAGGCATAAAACTACTCATTGTTTCTTAATTAACCTTGGGGTCACTGCATTGTATTACTTCGCACATATAATATTAATAACAAGTTATTTAATATTTAATTATAAAAACAATAATAATATAATAAATATAATTATAAATAAAAACTGCAAGAAGCACTATTTTATTTAGGTGTTTGTTAATGTGCTTCGAAACTTGAGAAGGTATTAAATATTCTCTTTAAATTATATTAAAATATTAAAAAATATTTATATTTTTTAAAAATATATTATTAATTTTATTATTAAAATAAAAAATTATAATTATTTTATATATATAAAAATATAAAATATTTTATTATTTTTCAGAATATTGTAGAATTTACCTTTAATTTATATACATTATTTGTGAAATAAACAACGCTGACGAATGACGATGGATAATTTGATTTATCCGCCGTTCAAGTTAGACCATTGGCGGCGCTGTCACAATGCCGGAA